GGCTCCGTGGTCTGAGCGTCGCCCCAGGAACCAGAGGCCACAGTTCAGTTCCCGGTCAGGGCACATGTCTGGGTTTTGGGCTCGATCCCCAGTAGGGGGCGTGCAGGAGGCAGCCGATCGATTTTGTTTCTCATGGATGTTTCCACCTCTCTATCCCTCTCCTTTCCTCTCTCTCTAAAAATTTCAATAAAAACATATTTTAACATATATATAATATATATATTATATATATATATATATATATATATACATTTTTTTTTTGTATAAGTGAACTCCCAACCCCAGAAAGCTCCCTCACGCCTCTTCCCAGTCATTTTCCATCCCCAGGCAGCCACTGTTCTGACTTTTCCACCCTTTATCCATTTGCCCCAATTGATTCATTCAAATCCACAAATGTTTATTTCAGATACGTTTTTATTGATTTCAGAGAGAGGAAGGGAGAAAGAGAGAGAGAAACATCAATGATGAGAGAGAATCATGGATCGGCTGCCTCCTGCACACCCCCTGCTGGGGAATCCTAAAAGGCAATATAAATGGGTTCACACGGCATTCGTATGTATGCAGTCGATCCTTATTACTCAGGTGTTTTGCGAATTTGCCTTCTGGTTCAGGTGTAGTTGTAACCCACAAATCAGTAGTCTGCTCTTTGGCGACCGCCTGGGAAGATTTCAGTTGCCCACGGATGGTGAACGCTGCCCCGTTTGTGGTCCGGGCAGTGCCAGGCTCTCTGCATTTCCATGCTCCTCGCTGTGCCCTAAGGGCAGCGCTGACGGCCGCCCAGTGTCCCTGCTTCGTTGAGGAAGTGAGTCACTAAATGCTGCTGGTGCGAGCTCAGGGTTCATAAACCCACGGTGTGTGCTCAGTAAGGTGTCTTTTCACAGAGGCCCGGGTGGGACGACGCTAGGTCCTGATTGGTTGGGGAGCATGTGGCCGGAGGCCCGCGGGATCCTGACCTTGCCCTTCCTCCGGGAGCCACAGCTCCGTATTTGTGAACTCCGGACCTGCGGAGACTCTGGGGAATGACCGGAATCCTGTAGCCTACAGCCCGGGCTGTTAGATCACCGTGTCCAATGGTGTGAATCTTTTCTTTTTTCTTTTAATATATTTTATTGATTTTTTTTTTACAGAGAGGAAGGGAGAGGGATAGAGAGTTAGAAACATCGATGAGAGAGAAACATCGACCAGCTGCCTCCTGCACACCTCCAACTGGGGATGTGCCCGCAACCAAGATATGTGCCCTTGACCGGAATCGAACCTGGGACCCTCTATCCACTGAGCCACACCGGTTTTGGCTGGTGTGAATCTTTTTTTTTTTTTTTTTTTTTTTTTAATATATTCTTTTTGATTCAGAGAGGAAGGGAGAGAGAGAGAGAAACATCAAGGATGAGAGAGAATCACGGATCGGCTGCCTCCTGCACATCCTACACCGGGGATTGAACCCACAACCTGGGCATGTGCCCTGACTGGGAATCGAACCGTAGCCTCCTGGTTCATAGGCCAGCGCCTAACCACTGGGCCACACTGGCCGGGCGGCGTGGTTTTTTTTAAGGCTTCCGCCCGTTGTCCCACTCTGCCTTCCAGAAAGCGGTCGGCCCGCTCCCGCTTCTGCCCACAGAGCACCGAGCGCCCTTTCTCCTCCCTCGGGGACAGCTGGGATGGTTTTCCGTCCTTGCCGGCGGGTCAGGGGCAGGTGGCATCCCTCCTGGCCTGCGGGCGGGCCATTCCGGTGCCGGGTGAGAGCCAAGAAAGCCCACGGGCCCCTGCGCGGAGCGGCCGGAGTGCGGGGAGGACGGAGACGGGGAGCCCAACGCTGCGGGCCCGGGGTGGGGGGACCCTGGGGAGGGCGGGGGGGAGGGGTGCCTTGGGCCGGCCGAGGCCAGCGCAGCTCGTGGCGGGCGATTGGGAAACGGTGACGGAAACTTCCTTTCTCACTGCCACGGAGGGAGGAGGGAGGAGGGAGGAGGGAGGAGGGAGGAGGGAGGCCACGGCTGGCTGGGAGCGGGTTTCAGGGCGAAGACAGCGGCTGGCGCAATGTCCCGGAGCACAGAGCGCCCCGAAGTACTTCCTTTGTGGTTTGCCGAGAGTTCGCCCCTCGCTTGGGAGCTGCGGGCTGTGAGGCAGAGAGGGCAGAGGCAGGGAGGCCCGGGTGCCAGGGGGGGTGTTATCTGTGGTTCTCAGCCTTGGCCGCCCCCTAGCATCGCCTGCGCTGGTTTGGCCCTGCCCCCAAGCTGAGACCTACCTCCGGAGAAGGTGGTGGGCCTCGATCTCCCCGGATTCCTACAGCTGGACTTTTTTTATTTTATTAATATATTTTATTGATATTTTACAGAGAGGAAGGGAGAGAGCTAGAGAGCTAGAAACATCGATGAGCGAGAGTCATCGATCAGCTGCCTCCTGCACGCCCCCCACTGGGGATGTGCCCGCAACCGAGGTACATGCCCCTGACCGGAATCGAACCCGGGACCTTCCAGTTCGCAGGCCGACGCCCTATCCACTGAGCCACACCGGTTTTGGCAGCACAGAGGGTTTTCAGGGCAGGTGACACAGGGGGTGAGGAAGGAGCCCCCTGATTTTGGGGGGCACTTCCATGTGGCTGGAATAGACACGCCTGCCAACCAGACAGGGCGTACAGGGCCTTGGAGGGAGGGCTGCGTTTCGGCCTCTCAAACCTGCCAGCCGTGTGCCCTTCAGCGCGTCACAGCGTCTGTCCTTCTGGGGCGAGGGCGTCAGAAAGGGGTGCTGGCTCCTTCCCGGGAAGCAGACCCGGCCGGGGCCTTCCTAAGACGTGACGCTGACTGGCTGTGTTTACTGCCGAAGGAGGAACAGATCTATTTCCTGCCCACGAGGTGCTTTTCTGTCATCGACCACAGGCCGCAGGGATGAAGGAGCTCCCACCTACGTGCTCCTTGTGGGACCTTCCTGGCCCTTCCCTGCTGTGTCTGTGGGAGACGGTCAGCGGTCAGCGTGGGGAGAGGATGTCAGCCAGCCCCAAGGAGGGCGGGGAAGGACGAGCGGGGGGGATGAGAGCGAGTGGACCTCAGCCCCCGGAGGAGGAGGCGGAGGAGGAGAAAGCCAGAAGACGCGTCGCTGGCTGGCTGGCTGCCGGGAGGGGAGGAAGGCCTGACGTGGGGAGATAACTTAGCAGGAAGCCCAGGGGCCTGGCGGTCGCCTGAGTCCCCTGGAAGCCGCTGTCCATTCTGCCAGCAGGAGCGAGACAGCCGCTCCGAGCGCCCCTGCTCCCCAGACCACGTGCGTCCACTCTTCCTGTGCGTGGTGGCCGCTTCCCACCCACGCGGGCGCTGTCTCACGCTTTCCTCCCTGGCGTGCGGTCTTTTTTTTTTTTTTTTTTTTTTTAAGATATTTTACTGATTTTTACAAAGAGGAAGAGAGAGAGATAGAGAGTTAGAAACATCGATCAGCTGCCTCCTGCACACCCCCCACTGGGGCTGTGCCTGCAATCAAAGTACGTGCCCTTGACCAAAATTGAACCTGGGACCCTTCAGTCCGCAGGCCGACGCTCTATTCACTGAGCCAAACTGGTTTCGGCAAGAATTATTTCTTAAATACAGACACCGCCAAGAAGTAAAAGCAGTCATAAATTGACAACCTGAAGAAACACCTCTTTACATTTTGGTATATTGTAAGAAGAAAAAGTGTGCGTGCGTGTGCGTGTGCGTGTGTGCCCGTGCTCTTGCGAGCGTCCTCCATTCTGTATGTAATGGCGATGCTCTTTGCTTGCCCTGGGGGAGTCTTTTGGAAGGGGGGCTCCAGGGCTCCTTTCTGGGGACCAGCCCAGCGCCTGGCTGTGGTGGTGCAGCTTCGGGCTGGTCCAGATGGACGGACGGACGGGGAGCCCCTGGGGCCTGGGAAGTCTCAGAGAGCTCCCTTTGTGCAGCGGAGGGCAGCGACGTTGGCACCGTCCTTTTTACCTGTGTGCCTGTTCCCCGAGCACCCGCCAGTGAGCGGCCTTGTGCCAAGCTCTCGTGTCCCTCACAGTGACCCTGGCAAGGCCCCCTCCCCGTTGTATGGGGGATGGTGGGCTGTGGCGTTACAGCCCCAGGCCAGGTGTTCCGCAGGCTTGCCGTAGTTGATAATTGCCGTAGTTGGTAATCGTTGGTAGTCAAGGCAGGTGACTCTTCAGACCCCTGGGTTGCCAGGCAGCCTTCACTGCTGCTCCTGCAAAGCAGGTGGGCGGACCTCTTTCCAACCAAGAGCTGATGCTCAGAGATCTTAGCTCCAGCCACGTGGGAGAGAGTGGGTGGGACGTCCCAGGCCTGAGCGGCCCTGTGACTGCTGGTTCCCCATGTCACTTCGCTCGGAGCCACAGAGCCGGAGGGAGGGAGAGGCCGGAAGGACGTGGAGGGACTTGGGTGGGCGCAGGGCGCCAGGCAGGAGAGCCCAGGAGCCAGGCTGAGAGCCGAGACCCAGCACAGGGGGTAGGGGCGGGCAGGGGAGGTGCGGGGCCGGGGAGGGGGGCCAGAGGAGAGCGCCTGCTTCGCAGTCAGGCAGACCTGGCCGCGGGGCGGACACTCTGTAAGAAGTGAGAAGTGGAGATCCCGATCCGTGGTCCCCCCTGAGAAGGAAAGGAAAGCATGCAGCTGAGATGCTGCCATCCGCGCGGGCTCAGCACGTGCTGATGACAGTGCGGGGTTTGGAACTCTGTGCCAGAGACAGAGGAGCCTCTGGGCGCCCGCGGGGAGTAGCTGACAGCCTGGAGGCGTGGCAGAGCGGAGGGCAGTGGAGGGCAGCCTGGCAGCCGGCTGTTCACTGTGGTGGGAGCCCTGACCCTTGAAAGGCTGGTGGTGCAAGGAGAGAGGAAGAAGAGGGATGGGGAAGGGGAGAGGGAGGGGGAGGGGAGAGTTTGCAAAGGAGAGGCCCATGGACCCGAGGGGTGGGTGACAGTGCTGCTGATGGGGAGGAGCATCCGGCTTTGCTCTTTCCTGGCTCAGTTGGCACCGTTTCCCTCTGACTCACTCACCGGTGTGTTCTCGCCTTTGCAGGTTCCTGCGTGAAATGCAGCAAAGGGGTGTTTGGGGCCGGCCAGGCCTGCCAGGCCATGGGGAACCTGTACCACGACGCCTGCTTCACCTGTGCGGCCTGCAGTGAGTGTGTGCGGGCGGGGCGGGGAGGCCAGGGGGCGTGGGGACCCAGAAAGGGAGGGGAGGGCAGAGGCTGCTGGCCGGGGCCCCTCTCGGTCCCACCAGAAGGATGGCGCCTGCTACCATCCCCCACGGGCCTCGTCCAGGTGAGGTGACCGGTCCTGGGCGCCAGGCCTCGCCGGGGACAGACGTGGGCGATGCGCTGAGTGGCTTCTCGACCCTCATGCTCCAGCCCCCCCTGTGCCTGCCCGTAAAACTCCTGCCTGAGATGCCCCGTGTGTGCGTGGATCGGGACCCACCTTTGTAGGGAGGACTGTGGACGGCTCCTCGCGTCCCGATGGGAATGCCGTGGTCGGTCACCGGACGAGCGGGGCCTTGCCTTGCCTCGGAGCAAGTCACACGCTGCAGGCGGCTGGGCCCTGCTGGCGACACGCATGCTTCCCGCCGCACAGAACTAACGGTGTGAGTGCGTCCGGGCCCCGGGGCGGAGCTGCTGAAGACTCGGGGACGGGCTCCGTCGGAAAGAGGGTGCCTTGCATTCCTGCTTGCACACACTCCTGCTGCATGGAGGCACATAGCCGCCGCTCCGCGGGGAGGGAGCTGTCGGACACCCTCCTGCAGCCTCTCAGACGCTGGGAGGAGTGGCCTTTGTTTGGTGCCTGCCCGCTGCCCGCCGCCCGCTGCCCGCCGCCCGCGCCCTGGGGCCTGGCTCCGTGGGGCCTCGCGCGCATCTGCAAGCCTCAGTGTGGGGGGGACGGTGCGGCCGGGGCCCACCCCTCCTCGTCCAGGAAGAGGAAGGCGGGGGGGAGCAGCCCGGAGGTGGGGAGAAAGGTGCTCACGATAGGAAACCCCGCACGGAGCCGGCACCGAACCCGGGCTCCAGGATCCAGCTCGGCCTTGCACACCTCGTTTTCCCTATGGGGGTGCGTGCGTGTCTTCCTGCTCCCCTTTCATTTATGAAAACAATCTAGCTTCACACACCACGGAGACGTGTTTCTGTAGGTACACACACACACACACACACACGCACACGCACATGCACGCACGCACTGGCTTCCTGGATCGTGTTGCTAATTTGCTAACACAGTGCTGGGTTTTGTCTTGCTCACACATGCTTCCAGGAAAAGCCGAGGTCCCACTGACCCAGTGGGCAAAGATACAGTGAGCTGCTTTTATTTATTATTATTATTATAATATATATTTTAAAATATATTTTATTGAGTTTTTACAGAGAGGAAGGGAGAGGGATAGAGAGCTAGAAACATCGATGAGAGAGAGTCTTCGATCAGCTGCCTCCTGCAAACCCTCTACCGGGGATGTGCCCGCAACCAAGGTACATGCCCTTGATGGAAATCGAACCTGGGACCCCCTCAGTCCGAAGGCCAATGAGTGAGCTGCTTTTAGTTTGTGACTTTCACAGACAGCGAAATGTGCCAGGCGGGCCAGCTGCCCGGGTCCTCGTCCCGCACACCGGGAAGGACCCAGAGGGGCCGGGCGCTGCGGGACGCTGAGCAGCCGTCCCCGGGGCAGCCCCGCACTCACCGGAGATGAGAGCCGTGCGGTCTCGGTGATGGGCCCCTGGGGAGCCGGAGCTGCTCTGACAGCCTCCCACCCCCCGGGGGTGCGGGGAGGTCCCGGGGGTCCCCTCTGGGCCTTTTCCCGTGTGGAGGGGGCGGGTTCCTTGGGGCGCCCTGGCTCCCCACCGCTCACAGGCAGCAACAACATTCAGCTCAGTGTCGGTTGTGACCACAGCGTGGCAGCCGCAAGGGAAGTCTCAGAGGCCGAAGCCTGGATGTTACTGAAGCAGGGCCTTTCCGCTGGAGGTGTTCCCTTCAGGGCTTTGTCCGAATGTGCACAGATTTGCCCACGGTTCTCTGGAGTGTTCAGAATGGTGGTCACAGCATCCGAAGTGTCCTGTCCCTTTGGATTTACTATTTTGGCGTGAGTTCCTCCACGTCCCTGCAGTCTTTTTTTTTTTTTTTTAAATATATTTTATTGATTTTTTACAGAGAGGAAGAGAGAGGGATAGAGAGTTAGAAACACCGATGAGAGAGAATCATCGATCAGCTGCCTCTTGCACACTCCCTACTGGGGATGTGCCTGCAACCAGAATACATGCCCTTGACCGGAATCGAACCTGGGACCTTTCAGCCCACAGGCCGACGCTCTATCCACTGAGCCAAACCGGTTCCGGCAAGCCCCTGCAGTCTTCGTAGTTGTCATTGTCACCGTTGCCTAGTAACCGGGACCTGTTCCCTGGTTTGGCAGCATCGCACTCACTTCATGCCCGTGGGTCGTGGGTCCTCACCCACAGCCCCCGCCCGCTGGCGTGCACGCGTCCCGGCTCCCCTCGCCGAAACGTGTCCTTGGTCTCCGCTCCCAGAAGAACAATGTGTGGGCACTTGTGCAGGTTTTTAAAGTCCCCTTCCTCCTTGCCTGGCTCCTCCAGCAGCCGGTGTGTTTGGTTGCCATGGAGATGGGTGTCCTGGGTTTCCCTCCTCCTCCTCCTCCTCCTTCTCCTCCCTCATCCCCTCCCCGCAGGCCCTGCCCACCCAGGTGGCCGAGTCCCCAGCTGGATCCCTCGGGCTGACTGCATGCCGTTGGCACCGGGAGCCGAAGGGAGGGTCGGTGCCGAGGGCGGGCACAAACCCTTGGCTGGCGGCCACAAACCCTGTGTCGGGACACCCCGGGTCAAGTGGCCCGTCTGAGGGGACGCTGGCGCCCGCCGGTGGCCTCGGGTGGAGTGAGAAGGAAGGACGGTGGGTGTGCTGGGCCAAGTGGAGCTCTGGCTGGCAGGCACCCTGCAGGGCAGTCGGAGGGGCGAAGGGCCGGCACTCAAGCCCGGGACCGTGTGGACCCGCAGCCCTAGCCGTTAGCCACCCTAACGTTGCCTTTGCTTCGAGAGAATGCGTGCTGGAGACGGGGGCCGGCTCTGGGCGTGGGGTCCCGGATCCCCCTGCTGCCCGGGGCCTGGAGGAGAGGAGAGAGGGCGCCATGGCGGGCTGCGCCCAGAGCAGAGACATGGATCCGGGGCTCGGAGCGGAGGTCTCTCCCTTCGGAAGGCCTTTGGCCCCTGGATTTCGGAGCCGTTGAGTCACCCCAGGATGTCTCATCGTCGTCGGTATTTCTGCACGGGCCCAAGGAGGCAGCTGGGTCTGAGGAGGAAGCCGGAGATCAAGAATGTGAGAAAGGAAGAGTGGGCAGATCCCAAAGGAAATCAGTGGGCGAGGGAGAAACCAGGAAACGACCAAAATAGACAGCTGGGCCCGGGGCGGTGCAGAGGGGGGACTTTCCCTTGGCGAGCGGTCACGTGGAGGCTCCTGTCCGTCCCAGCAAACCCGGGTCCGCTGGGCGCCCTGGTGTGGGGGCCGGGCTTGGGGTCTTAGGGCAGACTTTGTTGATTCAGCCTGAGGCCACGAAGTCCCTGGCGTGGAAAAACACCAGCTTCTTCGTGTGGGGGGAGGGCATCAATGGAGCCGGCGTTACTGACCTGCACGGTGCAGGCAACTCCAGTGTGGCCACACCTACATGCCAAGCACCCGTGTGGTTCTGGGTGGGAATTTGCTTTCCTTTCCCTCAGGAGTCCCAGACCCAGGCTGACACCTGGTCACCTGCCTCCCGGGGCCCCCAGTGGAGGATGGAGAGGCTGTGCCACATGCCAGGGGACACGGCACCCTCATGAGTGTGAAGGTGTTGCTCTGAGTCCCGGAGTTCGGGAGGGGACCTCCTCTGGAGGTCTGAACTTCACTCAGGTGTTGTAGACGCCACTTGGGTGTCCCTGGCTCTCCCATTTTGCTAAGAGCACCTCTTCTTTCTGAAATCCTGCCACTAAGAAATCTTCAATTTCGCCAAAACCGGTTTGGCTCAGTGGATAGAGCATCGGCTTGCGGACTGAAAGGTCCCAGGTTTGAATTGGGTCAAGGGCATGTACGTTGGTTGTGGGCACATCCCCGGTGGGGGGTGTGCAGGAGGCAGCTGATCGATGATTCTCTCTCATCAGTGTTTCTAACTCTCTATCCCTCTCTCTTCCTCTCTGTAAAAAAATCAATAAAATATATTTTTAAAAAATCTTCAATTTCTTCAAGTGGACACATAAAACTAACCATCCTAGGTCTAACCCTGTGATGGTTAATGTTATGCCTCTCCATCCGCCCCTCTCTGCCTTCACTTGGCCTCCTGGTCTTCGGCTGCTTCTCTGAACTCTAGGCTCGCCTGGTCCCCTATGGCAGCCAGTGGCCACGTGTGGCTGTTGAGCCCTTGCGATGTGGCTATTGCGACTGAGAGGTTGGCATTTTATTATATTTCACTTTAATTAAAGTTTAAATTTAGCCGCATGTGGCTAATGGACAGTGCCACTAACTCTGCTAACCCAGAGTCTGCTGCCTCCTGAGAAAGGGTCCTGGTCCCGGCTGTGCTGTGGGGCCCCCTAGTGGCGGGCGGCTGCTCTGGCTGGTGTGTCTGTGAGTGCAGTGCTGGGTCCTGCCCTTGCATGGAGCGCCCGGGCCAGGGGCCGCGGTGCCAGGAATCTCCTGGTTCGTCGGTGCCTGTGTCCAGATCTGGAGCGATTCCTGCCCCTCCGCCTCCCCCGCTCCCGCTTCTCAAGGCCAGGCTGCTGGCTGCTTTCTGCCCGACGTCCCTTCGCCTCCACGTGCCTGTGGTCCCAACAAGCGATACCCACACGGGTGCCCTCGCAAGAGACGGTCGCGGAATTGTCAGGGTCGTTGAGATACCCTGTAGGTCAGGTGCCCAGTCAATAGAAAGTGCTTGGTGCCGAAACCGGTTTGGCTCAGCGGATAGGGCGTCGGCCTGCGGACTGAAAGGTCCCAGGTTCGAATTGGGTCAAGGGCATGTACGTTGGTTGTGGACACATCCCCGGTGGGGGGTGTGCAGGAGGCAGCTGATGGATGATTCTCTATCATCGATGTTTCTAACTCTCTATCCCTCTCCCTTCCTCTCTGTAAAAAAATCAATAAAATATATTTTAAAAAAGAAGTTTGGGGAGGTATAGGAAAGTGTACAGAAGCAAACAAAGCATGAACATGCCTCAGCCCCTGTCACGCCCCCTGGGTGCAGGCACCTCCATCCTCTGGGCAGACCTCTTTTCCAGTCTTTTTCTTTGAATTTCTTCCTTACAGGGTTGAAATACACAATCTTTAGGTCTTTTATTTTTTTTTATTTTTCATATTATTACATAATGGTGTTTTTTAAGTTAAAAATGTTTTGGGTTACAAAAACAGAAAATTCTAGGAAATCTTAATAACGACATGAAACAAAAAGTAAAATTTCTCATTTCATCTACCTGTGGACCTGACACTATACAAAAAAATTTTAAATATTGAAATGTATGAAGTGGTAAGTGCAGCTTCCCTTCATTACAGCCTCCCAGTGCTATGTAATAGTAGATACGTTTTTTAAAATTTTATTTATAAAATTGAAAGTTGAATTTCTCTGTAACGCTAGCTACCGGTAGTAACCGCTAGTAGTTTTAGTGTGCAATCCTCCAGGTTTTTCTTTCACATATTAGTGGTGTGTGTGTGTGTGTGTGTGTGTGTGTGTGTGCAAGTTACTGAACTGGGGTTGTACTATAAATACAGCTGTCAGCTTGGCCTTTTTCACTTCCTAATGTTATTGCGTATTTTTCTATAGTATAAGCATTTTCCAGTGTCACTAAAACACTTAAACTGAATGGTATTTTAAATGGCTACATCATGTCTTCACATTTAGATGCACCCTGTTTTATGTAGTCCTTTTCTAAGGCTATCAGTTTAGATCGAAGTAAATATTTATTCACACGTCAGATTCTTTCCCTGAGCTATGTCCCAGACTGCCCCACTGAACCAAAGATAAACGTTTTAAAGTTTCCAAAGAGAGTTTATCGTTTTACACGCTCATGGGTAGCTTGCAGAAATATGTCGTAGCTGCAGTCACAAACGACTGGGATCACTTAAAAAAAAAAAGTCTTTGTTAATATGAGAGAAAAAGCTCTTGTTTAATTTGCGTTTCTTAGGATATAAGAGGGTTCAGTGCTCCGGCGTGCTTAATGATCTTCCTGGATGATTTTTGCAACAGAGGTAATCCGCCCTCTATTAAGACAAAAAACCCTGCAATTCCCAGCTCAGACTCCTGGGCTCAGACTCCTGGGCTCAGACTCCTGGGCTCAGAGCTGGGTGTCTGCCCTGTGGATGGGTCAGAAGCCTCCCTCTCTAGCATGGCCTGTGGGGGTTTCAGGCGGCCTCCCGCTCCCTCTAGTGGCCTCACCGGCAGCTGCAGCCTCACCTCCTTTCCCATCAGCCCGGTGGGAAATCCTCGAATGAAGAAAACCAATTAAACTTAACCTCCAAGGCTGCCAGGGGGTTCTGGTAGTGAACTCTGAAACCACTGAGTTGTAAGCACTCGTCTTGTTACCCTAGCTTAGCAGAGTCAGGAAATACTTGCGAAGGTTCTAGGACCTTCTAGAAGTGAGGGTAGCTCACTGGGAGGTTAGTTAGCATTTGGTCTACATCTGATGTGTAGGAAAGCACGTGCAATTTTGCAACCACAGGTGTGTGAGTTTGTATGTTCATGTATATGCACACACACTCATACTTTTATAAGGTTCCCCCGCCCCCACTTTTAAAGAATTTTAAAGTATGTCCCTGGGTCCTTAAATCTCTTTTTAAAAACAATCCTTTCTTATAGCTGCCTAATAGAATAAACGCTGCCGTTTATCTTATAGGAATAGGATGCCGCTCATTTCTCATAGACGTTATTAATGATGGCGGGATGAAGAGCCTTTAAACAATTGAACTCTGATTATTATTGTCTTGCAATAGAATTTTTGGGTCAAAAATCATCTGAACTTTCTAAATTCTATGAATATTTAATTCCAAAAGTTCTCTCAAAACCCTGCTCCAAGAAAGGATCAAAGAGGGCAAGGGGACATATGCAATACTTTTAACAATAAAGATTTAACTTAAGCCGAAACCGGTTTGGCTCAGTGGATGGAGCGTCAGCCTGCGGACTGACGGGTCCCAGGTTCGATTCCGGTCAAGGGCATGTACCTTGGTTGCGGACACATCCCCGGCAGGGGGCGTGCAGGAGGCAGCTGACCCATGATTCTCTCTCATCGATGTTTCTAACTATCCCTCTCCCTTTCTCTCTGTTAAAAAAAAAAAATCAATAAAATATATACATTTTAAAAAAGATTTAACTTAAAAACAATCAGACACCCCCGTGGCGTGGGGAATGTCTGCCTGCCAGTGTCATCATTCACGCTGTTCTCGCCGACCGCTGCCCGTGGGACGCAGCACGGGCCGTTATTTTCATTTGAATTTTTTTTTCCTTAGGCCGGAAGCTGAGAGGAAAAGCCTTTTATTTCGTCAACGGCAAAGTGTTTTGTGAAGAAGACTTCCTGGTGAGTTTGACGCCCAAGCCTCCCTCCCCACAGCCCTGTCCAGAGTCGGGGGGGCGGGCAGCACGCGGGAGGTCCGGCCGGGAGAGGAGGGCAGCCACACCGCTCTCCAACGGGGTCCCCACCGTCCTTCTGGAGAGGCGTGGGGGGGGCCGGTGCCCGAGGCCAATGCCCAGCCACCGAGCTTTGTGCTCTTCAGGGACTCGAGGGTCACTGGGCCTGCCCTCTGGTTGCTGTACCCACTTCTGCCCACTCCACCCCTTACCCCCAAAGAGCCTCCGTGCTGGGAGGCAGGCTTTCCTCACGTCTCACTCTGCCTGCTCCCCACGGATCCGGCCCCCTCTCACGCCTGGACGGCCCCTCCCTGTGCAGCCCTGTCACCTCGGAGGCCCGCTGCTGACACCCCACCACCCACAGGACCGCCCCGGGCTGCCCCCAGTCCCCCCACTCCGGTTGCCAGAAGCAGAAACACCCCCTCGCCGCGGGTCCTCGCCTCGGAGAACGGAGGACCGTGTCCTAGGTTCCTCCTGTCCCTCCTCCTTCCCGCCCGTCCCAATGCAGCCACGCACGGAGCCTGGTGCCACCAGCCCCCCCCCCCCCCCGGGCCTGCTTAGACCTCCTCCGCACTATCTGCCTGTGCACTGGCCTTCGGGCGCACCCCCGGGTTCAAGCCCGTGCAGAAAAGCTCTCCGGGTCAGCCTGACTCACTCTGCACCTGCCGCACTCCGCCTGCCCGCCTGCCCGCCTCCCTTCTGCCTTCGCTGGTGCCGTCTCCTCTGCCTGGCATGTCTTCGCCCTTTCTCTGCCCCGGGAACTCCCGCAGCCTTCCTGTCCCTCCCGCCCCCACGCGGGCCTGGCTCCTCCATGCGGCCCCCCCGCCCTGGCAGGCAGACAGCACACCGCATCGTGTCCGTGTGTAAGCCTCTCCCTCCGGACCGTGGAGAGTGAGTGAGCTCCTCCACCTTCAGGCCGGAGACCCGAGCTCAGTGCTGGGCACAGAGTGCGGCCGGGAGAGGGAGCCGGACTGAGCCTGTGCTTCAGGGATGAGGACTGAGACCCAGCTGCTCTGTGTGGGTGGATTCATGTGACTCATGTTTGCCGGGCACGGACACGCAACCTCGGGCTGGCTTCAGCCCAGAGGAAACTCATTCCAGCAGGGCCTCCCAGAGTCGTTTTCTCCTCCGGCCCCGCCTCTCCCGCCCACGGTGTGGTGTCAGGCTCGGTGGGCACTAAGCGGTGTCCGGACGTGCGGTCCGTGTTTGGCCGGAGCCTGGGCAGACAGTTCCTCTTGGCGGGGCTCGTGGCCCTCCCTGGGCAAAGGCATTGGTGCTGGCGGGATGCGAGGCTCTGATTGGCCAGGGCCCAGTCTGTGCCCCGCCTGGGCACACAGGATGGGGTCGGTCCCACAGGAATGGTGGGGTCCCGAGTGACAATGCCAAGCGGTTGTTACCCCTGGAACGGGAGAAGGTGCCAGACGGCAGAAACCACACCTGGTGCAGCGTTGTAGAGAGTTCCCCCTGTCCTTCCCCACCTTCCTTTCCAGGACATTCCCCCCGTGAGGTAATAGTTGCAATATCTAAGCTCCACTCTCTCCGGGGGAGTTGTAGCATGTATGTTTTCTGAAGACACTTCCTTGTTTCTTTTAAGACTCGTGCTGTGTGTGTGTGTGTGTGTGTGTGTGTAATACTTAACAAGTTTCTTTGAAGCTAACTGTCAAAAGCATTGGCTTTTAAAAAAAAAAAAATATATATATATATTTTATTGATTTTGTACAGAGAGGAAAGGAGAGAGATAGAGAGTTAGAAACATCCATGAGAGAGAATCATCGATCAGCTGCCTCCTGCACACCTCCTTCTGGGGATGTGCCCACAACCCAGGTACATGCCCTTGACCGGAATCGAACCCGGGATCTTTCAGTCCTCAGGCTAACGCTCTATCCACTGAGCCAAACCGGTTTTCGGCAGCATTGGCTTTTTAACCAGAAACTGACTTGGCTTTGTATCCCGTCCTTACCCCTTAGAAGCTGTGTGACCTTGAGAAGATTACTTAACCTCTCTGAGCTTCCCTTCTGAGAAACGGTTAGCCTGAATGCTTCAGAATTGTTTTAGGATCCATTGGCCTGGTGGCCTCACACTTGAACACGCATCAGAATCCTTCGAAGGGCTTGTGAAAACATGGATTCCGGGCCCCAGCCCCTGAGCCTCCACGTGGGCTGTATACTAATAATTTGCATTTTTTTAAGAGTTTGTAGGCGATGCCTGAGAGAACTCCCCTTAGAACTGCCTGGATGGATTCAGGCCCCTTTGCCCTGCCACGGGTACCCAGGTGGCCTTCCTGGGGCAAGTGGTATTGCTATCGGTCATGGCTTTTGTGGCAGAAATGAGTCCATGAGTCACCCCACAGCTGTGTTGTCCCCAGGGAAATGACAGGTTCCTGAAAGAGTGACACATCTCTCCGAGAACGTCCTGGCTACCCTCATGGCTGGCCGGGGAGATGGGGGGAGGCTGCATGCCTCTGCCCTGCCTGGGTTAACTCTCTCTTCTCTTCCCTCGGCAGTACTCCGGCTTCCAGCAGTCAGCTGACCGGTGTTTTCTGTGTGGCCACCTGATCATGGACATGGTGAGTAGGGCCAGCCGAGCCAGAGAGGAGCACGGGGAGAGGGGGACGCCCGCAGAGAACAGAGGCATTCTCCACGGACAACCATGTTTTCTCGCTCGGCGTGGGGCTGCTAGGAACCTCTGGTCCTGTGGGAAGCAGGTCCCACGCAGGTCGCGGTGTTTGAAGTTGGCTTGCGTTGGCGTTCGTATCCCCAGCCCTCCAGTCCACACAGCGGTGTGTTTCCCAGGATCCTCTCTGCTCTGGGCTGCCCGCACGCTGGCCTCCCTCTGGCCTCCGGGGGTCCCGGTGGCATCCTGGCTGAGACGCCCAGTGGGACCTGTTTTTACTGCGGGAGTCTCAGCTGCCTTGGCGTCGGGCGCAGAGTCAGATAAACACGGTGCTTTTCCCCTTGCTCTGCCCGGCTCAGTCGGTTCCTAAAACTAATTACATTTCTGTTGTTGTTGTTGTGAATCTTCACCTGAGGAGATATTTTTTCCATTGCTTTTCAGAGAGAGTGGGAGGGAGGAAGGGAGAGAGAGAGGGAGAGGGAGAAGGAAGGAGAGGGAGAAGGAGAAGAGAATGAGGGAGAGGAAGGGGGGGGGAGAGAGAGAGAAAGACATAGACATTGATGTGAGAAAGACACATCAACTGGTTGCCTCCTGCACCTGCCCCAACCGGGGACAGAGAGCGAACTTGAGACCCAGGTACGGGCCCTGGACCAGGAATAGAACGGGAGACCCTTTGGGGTGCAGGCCAACACTAACCACTGAGAACACCAGCCGGGGCCTAAGATGAATCTTTGAACCAGGGGAACAAGGAGCACATTCTATCCATTCTGTTCCTCGCTGAGCCACGGGCTCTCTGAAACACCGTGTCCTGGGCCGCAGTGTCTCTCTCTCTTCAGGGGAGCTAGCTTTCCCTTCCTGGCCTCCGTAGGGCAGGGGTGGGGAACCTTTTTCCTGCCAGGGGCCACTTGGATATCTATAGCATCACGCAGGGGCCAGACAAGATTACCAGCTTAAAAATCTCCTGCTGCGTTGGGTCACACATTTAATCAGCTCGCCCCTCATGCCTTGGCAGGGCCAGACCAAACGACTTACAGGGCCCCAGGTGGGCGTTGCCAGCCCCGCCTTACAGGGTGAGGCTGTGGGCCTAAGGGACACGGAGGGTCAGGTGCTCACCAACGGAGAGTGGCCCTTTAGGTTTTATTTAATATACTGGAGAAAAGCACCTAGAACTTTGTTTTCGTTGTAAAGAGTTAAATAAACTCCTTTTTACTGATCCCTTCATTCCTTTCAGGAGAAGGGAATTGCTAAGAGTTGCCTTTAAAAAAAAAAAAAAAAACAACCACCAGCCGAAACCTATTTGGCTCAGTGGATAGAGCGTCGACCTGCGGACTGAAGGGTCCCCGGTTCGATTCCGGTCAAGGGCAGGTACCTTTGTTGCGGGCACATCCCCAGCAGGGGTGTGTGCAGGAGGCAGCTGATCGATGTTTCTCTCTCATCGATATTTCTAGCTCTATTCCTCTCCCTTCCTCTCTGTAAAAAAAAAAAAAAAAATCAATAAAATATATTTAAAATAAATAAATAAACAACAACCATTTTTATTGAGAAGCAACTCATGGAGTAAAGGACACCCTCCCCCGCCCCCAAGTGTGCAGCTGAGTGAGCTTTTACCCTTGCAGATACTCACAGCAGCACCTCCCAGGTCAGGATGTAGGTCATCTCCCACAGTCTGCACCCCAGAAGGTTCCTCCCTGGCCTCCTCCCCGTCCAGATCCCCCTCCCGCCGGGGTCCCCGCTGGCCCGCCACCTCTGGCCTCGGGTTTGTCTCACTGGTCCCGGGGCGCCGTGTAAATGGGATCCTACAGTACAGGCTCCTTGGGGTCTGCCTTTTCTCCCGTAGGAAGATGTTTCTGAGATTCGTGCATTTGTGGTCACCTGTGTCGGGAGTGTGCTTGTTTTCCTTGCTACAGAGAAGTCCATTGTAGGGATAGGGAAGTTTGCTCATCCATTCTCCTGCTGATGGGGTTTGGCTGGTTCCCACGGGGCGGGGTGGGGGGCCACGCAGGAACAGAGCCGCTGTGAACACTTTTAGGCACGTCTTTTTTTTCTTTTTTAAATATATTTTATTAATTTTTTTTTTTTTTTTTTTAACAGAGAGGAAGGGAGAGGGAATAGAGAGCTAGAAACGTCGATGAGAGAGAGACATCGACCAGCTGCCTCTTGCACATCTCCTACTGGGGATGTGCCCACAACCAATGTACATGCCCTTGACCGGAATCGAACCCGGGACCCTTTCAGTCCGCAGGCTGACGCTCTATACTGAGCCAAACCGGTTTCGGCTTAGGCACGTCTTTGATGGATACGAGTACTCATTCCTGCTGGTCCAGGGGTTGTACTCGGAGAACCACTGACATAGCAGGAAAAACGATTTTTCTCACCGAACGAGAGTGTGGAGGCAGGCGGTTCCACGGTGGGTGGATCTGGTTATGTGCTGACGTCGCCAAGGACATTCCGTCCGGCTCTTCGCCCCTCCCCACGCGTGTCAGCGCGGTCCCGGCTCCAGGGTGGCCTCTTACCGGTCCAGGTGGCACCTCCGGGTGAGGGACCCTGAGGGGAAGGAGGTTTGCGGGGCCTTCTCTTCACTGTGCTTCTTAAAAAGCTACAGCAAAGAGGCTTTGCTTGCACTTGGGTTTGGGATAATCGGCTGAGTCTCGGCTTATCCTGCCGCAGGGTCAAAGCCGCTTAGAAGGGCTTGGAGGTGTTCTCCGAGCCCTGCATTTTCACGGGGATTTGCCTTCAACCTTTCCACATCCTCGCTGCTCCCCAGATCCAGGGTGGATCGATCCTTTTGTGGCCCTACTATGCATCATTTCCTACGAAGAACCGTAAGGCTTTCCGACGGGGGAGCCACTGAAATTCCTTCCCGGAGTTTTAGGAATTCAGGAGGAAGGTCCTGTGTGGCCTCCTCCTGTTTATACATGTGACCGTGGGCCACGTGAAACTTGGTATGTGTGATTGTCATCCCGCTGAGTCCCGGCCGGGTCCTGTGTGTCCACAGATCCTGCAGGCCCTGGGGAAGTCCTACCACCCGGGCTGCTTCCGCTGTGTCGTCTGTAACGAGTGCTTGGACGGCGTGCCCTTCACCGTGGACTCGGAGAACAAGATCTACTGTGTCCGCGATTACCACAAGTAAGGAGGCCGGGCCGACGCGTGAGCCGCGCGGGGGGCACGCGGCAGTGGCGGCAGACACCCGCCGAGGCGGCTCGCCCGTTAGCCCACAGCCCGGCAAAGGCCTCACGGTTTGCGGGGTGGAGCAGGGGCCTCGGAGCTCAGCAGATGTCTGTGCAGACGGGAACTGATTAAAGAATTACTTTTTTTTAAGTTTATATATATATATATTTTTTTGATTTTTTTTTACAGAGGAAGAGAGAGGGATAGAGAGTTAGAAACGTCGATGAGAGAGAATCATCCATCAGCTGCCTCTTGCACACCCCCTACTGGGGATGTGCCCGCAACCAAGATACATGCTCTTGACCGGAATCGAACCCGGGACCTTTCAGTCCGCAGGCTGATGCTCTATCCTTTGAGCCAAACCAGTTTCGGCTGATTAAAGAATTACTTTTATTGAAAACACACACACACACACACACACCCCAAAAACCCCCAGGTCACATCCTCCGGTTCACCGACCTCCTCCCTCGCTGTGCCTGGGCCTGTGCCAGGCTCCTTGAGGGGAGAAAGCAGACAGTCAGTCTCTGTTCCGAGCAGCGAGGGGCCACGTGTGCCCGTTAGCGCTGGGGGTGGATCCCGAAGCGTGAGAAAGCGCGTGTCCCACTGAGTGAGCCAGGCCCTCTGTCCGGGGCCGGAAGGGACAGGACCGGGCTGGGAGGAGGGCTCCCAGGAGCCCTGGGCCTTGCCCTCCAGAAGCACAGCCGGCATCTCACGTCGTCTCTGCTCTCCCCACAGGGTGCTGGCCCCCAAGTGTGCAGCCTGCGGGCTCCCCATCCTTCCACCTGAGGTGAGATGCCCCTCGGACCCGGGTTGCCCACGACAGGAGTTTCTCCCGGCGCTGTCCTCCGTGTCCTCCCCAAGCGTCCCCTTCCTCTCTCGCCGGCGTCCCTAGCCCCGTGGTCGGCAAACTCATGAGTCCACAGAGCCAAATTCTTTAGACTTAAACTTCTAGCACCACTTCTTCAACATACACTTGCCCAGGCCGTGGTATTTTTTGTGGAAGAGCCACACTCCAGGGGCCAAAGAGCCACCTGTGGCTCCTGAGCCGCAGTTTGCCGACCATGGCCCCAGCCCAGTGCCCTGCCCGTGCCCCGTTTGTCCGCAGTCGGGGCAGATGCAGTGCCAGCTCCTAGAGGAGAAGGTGAGCAGTGGCTTTCTCAGCGCTGACGACCTCCCAGAGGGTGGGACTCCCGTCCCTCCATTTCCCAGGACCCAGTGTGTCCTTTCCCCCCGCGTTAGTCTCTTCTCCTAAGGCCGCCTGCTTGTTACTTAGAATCCCTCCCCCCCCTCCCCCACACCCCGTTGCATGTGGAACCCAAATGGGCCCCCCAAGGTCTTGTTCTCGCTTTTCCTCGGCCCAGGGCTCAGATGAGACCATCCGCGTCGTGTCCATGGACAGAGATTACCACGTGGAGTGTTACCACTGCGAGGTAGGCCTCCCCCCGCCCCGCCCAGGCTCCAGCACCCGCTTCGCAGTCCAAGAGAAAGCCCGCCCAGGAGACCGCGGCAGGAGGCGGTTAGGCCCGGGCCTGGGGCTGCCGTCAGAGCGGATGAGGAAATGGGATGGAGCCTGTTCTGTGGGCCGAGGTGGGAGGAGAGGGCGGAGAGGACACAGGTGTTTGGGGCATCAAGGTCTTGACCGTTTTCTCTAAGGCCTGAGTCCGCGGCAGCTGCCCCGCCTGCAGCTGCCGAGTGGGAGGAGCAGGTCTTGTGTGGGGGCCTCGTCCTCAGGCAGCTGTGCCATGAGGGGAATAGACACCCTCCCCCCCTCCAGTTTGTACCAAGCTTGGCTGTGAGTTCGACACGCTGGTGTAGGCTTTCCGTCTGCCGGGAGCCTCGTTCTCAGCCGAGCCCTGGAAATCACAAAGACATTTCACCTCCACCTCACCCCCCTCGGACACAGGGGTGGCTGATGGGTATGAAGGTGGGGTGGGGGGACTCTGGATCACCCCCAGGCTGAGGACGGTTAGGTCCGCCAGGGGTCTCCCCTCTCCAGCCCTTGGGAAGGCTGCAGGCGCTGTGGGAGCCCGTGGCCTGCCAACGGGAACTACGTGGGAGGAGATGAGACGTATTTTGTAATGCTGGGGGGGCGGGTCGGGAGAATCGGGGTGTGGGTACAGATAGATGGCTCCCGCCGCCCAGCTGAGGAAACAGGTGGGCCTTGTCAGTGCTGCCCCAGGTGCAGGGGGCAAAGGGGAAGCTCCACGCTCCATGGAACCCTCCACACATCCAGACCCACGCTCCGGGGGAAATCGAGAGCCGCCGACTCAGGTCCTGAGTGTCTCTTTGCTTCCTAGTAGCCACATTGAGGAGAAATTGCCCGGGATCCGTTTTTGTGATAAACTGTACCCAGCCCATTCTCTCCAGAGGGTTACCATTTCCACGTGGAGTCGCTGTGAAACATTTTTCACGTCATTTATATCCTTCCCTTCCCCCCAAGCCTGGGAAACCTGGCGTGTGTTTACCCTGACATAACCTCCCATTGCTCACCAGCCCCATTTCTTTCTTTCTTATTATATTTTATTGATTTTTTTTACAAAGAGGAAGAGAGAGAGAGAGAGCTAGAAACATCGATGAGAGAGAAACATCGACCAGCTGTCTCCTGCACACCCGCTACCGGGGATGTACCCGCTACCGGGGATGTGCCCGCAACCAAGGTACATGCCCCTTGACCGGGATCGAACCTGGGACCTTTCAGTCCGCAGGCCGACGCTCCACCGCTGAGCCAAACCGGTTTCGGCCCACCAGCCCCATTTCAAGTGCAGGATGGGGACAGACGGCGGGTGGCCCGGGGGGTGGGGCAATGCCGCCCAGACCTTCCCCAGGAGGGTGGCTGGGTGGGGTCCTGCGTTCGCCACCCCCCCCCCCCCCCCCCGGGAGCCGCATCGCTGGCTTCCGGGGCGCTGGCCTTGGGCAGCCCCTGGGCTCGGCTGCGGCGGGACACGTGTGCCTCTCGCAGGACTGCGGCCTGGAGCTCAACGACGAGGACGGCCACCGCTGCTACCCGCTGGCGGATCACCTCTTCTGCCAGCCCTGCCACGTCCAGCGGCTGGAGAAAGGGCCCTCGCCCGCAGCCCTGCACCAGCAGCACCAGCAGCACCTCATCTAGCCGGAGCCCCAGCCCGCGGGGCGGGGCGGGGCGGGGAGAGGCCGGTGCCTGTGGATTCTGGGAGTAGAGGTGGGAGTGGGGGTGGGGGTGGAGGAGGCGTGGCCAGCGAGTGCCCGCGCACAGGCCCGGGGCCCTAGGCTTGCGACCCTACCCGCCTGGGGTGTGTATCTCCCGAGGGCCTGCATCGGATCGCTCAGGAAGACGCTAGCACCCGGTCCCTTCACAGGGCAAGGTGCGCACGGAGCGTGTTTCATAAGATCTTGTGGGGGGGAGAGGTTCCAGCCTGCCGATGCATCCATCCAACCCTTCCCCTCCCTCCAGGGAAATAGTGCCCCCCACGTCCCCCTGCACGCACGCGTGTGCACAGAGTGATTTTGGGCTTCCTTCCGCCCCAGAGCTGCCTTCAGCAGAAGGGCTGCGAATTGTAACTGTCGAGGCGAGAGGGGAAGCCCACACACGTGCTCTGCATCTTGGGGAGCATTGGTGAACCGGAGCCAGGGCTCCCGAAATAAGCGAGGTGGGGCGCCCTCCTGTCCCCTGCCCCCTGCCTGCATTCTGTGTGCCCGACAGATCTGCGCTCTAGACTCTGCCCGGGACAAAGAACTTGGTGCGGGCACCAGGCCTCTTTGCCCGCCTCTGCCTTTTCCCCTCTCTGGCGCTCTCCAGGGTCTGTGACTTGGGAGTCGCTTCTGCAGAGGCAGGTCCCCGGACCCCACGTGCCTGTACGGCTCAGGGAAGGCTGGGCTTCTGGAAGTCCTGCGTCCTGAGAGCCAGCGATAGATCCTCCCAGCCCCTTGTCCGCCAGGAGTGTGTGTGTATGTGTGTGTGTGTGTGTGTGTGTGTGTGTGTGTGTGTGAGGCCTCTATTCCAGGCGGTGGAGGGCGCGCCTGAGGATAAGTTATTAGTCATGGCTCGGGTTTCTCTCTGGCCCCTCTCTTGGCACCGGCATTATTACATGGGAAGGAACCGGTATTAGGTACAGAGCTTTTGTCTCTCTCTTTTCCTCGTTTAACGGTTTCCCCCCACGTTCAGTCTTCCACACACACACAACATACCTCACTGACACGGGCATCCCCACGTCGCAGATAGAGTAGGACGTGGACCGTGGCCGTGGGCTCAGGGACCTTCTTTGGTGCCTTAGGAACATCCAGCTTCATGCCGGCCACTCTCCAGCGGGCCAGGGCCCTGGGACCCTAAGCAAGGGCCAGCAGGGAAGAGATGGAAAACTGGGTGCTACTGCCTTAGTACTTATTTCATCGTGCTGGCTCCCGGGGGTGGCCAGGCCTGGAAGGCCACACCCTGGCAAGTTTCCAAGGCAACGTCTGAGCGGAGGAGGCAGGGTTTGCTTTGCCTGTCACAGTCCTGAGGCCCGAGGTTAGGATCCCCGGGTATTTCAATAGGAAGATGCATACATTTCTGTTGGTAAAAGGTTTGGGGGGCATTTGCCCTCGTAGCCTGTGGAGAGGACCCCGGAGCCTGGAGCACTGGGACCATCTCACCACGGCCAGGCACGGCAGCTGGCGTCTGCCCTCTGCCTCCTCACCTGGCACCCCGAGCTGGGGGACTGGGGCCGAGGAGGTGGTCAGTGGAGCCGTTCTGGGACTCCCAGACGTTCCCCCTGGCCCAGCTTCCCCCGTGGGCCATATTTTTGACTCATCGGGTAGCAGTTGTCTATAAGACAGCAAGAATTGACGCCATGGGTGGTTGCACAATTTTGTGAAATGTATTCTACTGGGGTCCTTTGGCCAGATGCCACTTCCAGGCTGTGTGCTGTCTGTCCTTGGTTCTTTCTCATAGGCTGAGCCTCCTGGAAACCTGTGAATGAGTGGGGCTGGGGGAGGGTCCCCTGGGGTCACACCCCTCTCTTCCCACCAAGTCCTCCAGCTTAGCCTGGGCAAGGCTGCGGGCAGAGGAAGCCAGCCAATGGGTCTCAGCTGCCTTTGCCAACTCACGGATGTTTCTGGCCTCGCGGACTCAACCTTTGTTCCACTTTCGAGTCCAGCGAGCGAGCCACTGACAGGAGTAGGAGGCGTTTGTTTGCAAATTGGGTAACTCGTCAGCGATATCTGTGATGCAGTTTTTTTAAATGAGATTTTTAAAATGGACTGCATTGGGTGATTCAGATCTCGCTGTCAATATGGCCTTGTTATTATTATTATCTTTTTAAATTGAAGAACAATGAGAATTCCCGGACGAGACATGAGCAGCAACCTCTCTTGTGACCCGCGTCCCCCGTTTTTCTCTCTCCTGCTCAGGCCTTTAAACGTTAAGCCACGAGGAGATGTTCGCCTGCCCGGTTATTTTAAACACTCTGTATGTTATTAGCCAAGTGGACCAGTCATGAGGTTGTGCTTAGAGAGAAAACAAGCGCCTGGCAGACCAGGATGAATATGTTGGTTGTAAAAGTTAGAGCAAAAAGCCCTTCCCGGGTTCCCTAGACAGCTCTTTGACTTTAGCCTGATTCCAGACCCCAGCGCCAGCCTTCTCCCTCGCCTCATTGCCCTTTCATTTTTTCTTTTCTTTTTCTTGCTTTCTACTGCCCCTCACCCACTCCCTCAGGTAGGGCCTTTCAAAAACTGCCTGGGTGGTCGAAAGGCGTATAACCCAGGTTGGCCCACTCTGTCAGGAGTCTCTGCCTCTGGTGTTTCCCATCTGTCACTGAGGAAAGAGTGATTTGTTCATCTCTCACCATGGGAGGGCCTTTAGTCCTGTCCCTCCCACTGCAAGGTCCCTGGCCCTGCCCCCACAGGACTTTCCTTGCTCCTCAGTCAGTGCTGGAGTGACAGCCTCTTTCAACTGAGTCCTGAGGTTGCTCCATTGAGTCCTGCGTGGTAGGAGGGATTGTCACCGAGTTCCATCACCTGCAAGGGCTGCCATCACCTTGTTTCCTTGGGCTTGGGTCACACTTACAAAAGGGAAAACAGAAATGTTAGGACTGGAGAATTACCCACAGTCCTTTGCAGGCCGTCTCTCTGTGTGTGTGTGTGTGTGTGTGTGTGTGTGTGTGTGTGTGTGTGTGAGAGAGAGAGAGAGAGAGAGAGAGAGAGAGAGAGAGAGAGAGAGAGAGAGAAAGTGTGAGAATCGTGAGGGCTGCTGATTTGCTTTCCAAGAATGTGTGTGAGACTCGCCCCCCAAACCATGGTTGCTTGGTGCCATTGTGAATAAGACCCTGTCTGCCAGGAGACCAAATTCTTTGTACCTACTCTCCTTTGTGCTGCGAATAGTTCTAATTTCCCAGTTACTATTTGAAGTAACTTTCTGAAGTTAACAGATAAAAAATGAACAACATATTTTGGCTATCTATTGTTCTGAGCCAGAAAGAAACAGATGTGGGAAATTTCCATTGAGAGTATGAAAATGTCAACTGTGCAGTGAACATTATTTTTCTCGGTCTCTTGTTTTCTACAAATTTATTCAAAATTTTACTGTTCCTATGAAGTTATGCACAATGTTGTTCCTGTAAAATTATCCGAAGATTCACTGTTCCTCTAAAATGATTTAACATGTCATGACAATAAAACATCAATTTGTAGACCATTAAAGTGCTCTTCAACCTGATAATGTTGATGGGGTCTTTTGTGTGTGAAATAAGAAGACAGTGCTCATTGTAAAGTGGATTTGGTCTCCTTTTAGGGCTCTGGATTCTTTCTTTTTTAAAAAAAAATATATTTTTATTGATTTCACAGAGGAAGAGAGAGGGAGAGAAATAGAAACATCAATGATGAGAATCATTGATCTGCTGCCTCCTGCACGCCCCTACTGAGGTTCAAGCCAGCAACCTGGGTGTGTGCCCTGGACTGGAACTGAACTCGGGACCCTAGAGCTCTGGATTTTTTTTTTTTTTTTTAATACATTTTATTGAAGGAGAGTTAGAAGCTGCCTCCTGCACACCCCCTACTGGGGATGTGCCCGCAACCAAGGTACATGCCCTTGACTGGAATCGAACCCAGGACCTTTCAGTCCACAGGCTGATGCTCTATCCACTGAGCCAAACCGGTTTGGGTGAGCTCTGGATTCTTAAAGGAACATATGGGTGTCAGAATGGGGAAAGGACTGAGATTTTTGTCCTGAGATGACCATGTTTTAGTCAATGACCTTCAGCAAATTTAGTTTCCTGATATTTAAAAATGGGGATTACAACAGAACTTACCTTAGGAATTGAGGTAGTATTGAATTAGTCCAAATAAAGAGCTTACAGCCTTAATTGCTCAATAGGAGTGACAGGCTTTAAGCTTACTTGATTTTTCCATTGGAATGACCAACAAAATAAATTACAAATGGTAATGGAAAAAATAATACAAACACAAAACAATTTGAAAAGAGCACATATGCAATAGAGGGAACCATAAAATAAAAAATATTGGTATGTTGGAATATATGAAAGTGAAAACTACTCTAGGTGCAGAAATATAAGGGAAAGGTAAACAATAAACTGGAAAAGATTGTAATGCAATGCAATCTTTGATAGTAAAAAATTGATATCCTTTATATTACAAAAAGTCTAACAAATCTGCAAGAAAACATTGAATGCCTACACCAAGAGAAAATAGTTACATCAAGTAAAAGGAACTTTAATTTTTTAAAGGAACTTTAATTATCAATTATGAAAATTGCAAAGAAATAATGAAACTTGTAAAATAGTGCTGATTAGAATGCAAGGAAACATGTTATTGATAGAAGATTTTATTGGATTTTTTTGGAGGGCAATTTTAAAATACGTACCATGGGGTAAAAATGTCCACAAAATGGACCTCAAAAATGTCTGCTTGATCATTTCACATCTATAAATTTATGACGTATATGAAACAACACAGAATTATTTTTAAAAAGTGTAAAACTGACAACCTAAATTCCCGACAAAAGAGTAATGCTTAAAATATTCTCTAATGAGATATCTTCGGAGAATATTTAATGACCTTACATAGCAGGCAAAAAAGCTAAAGGGACAAAAAGAAAACGAAGACATTTCTGGTACAAGCGGGAAATTTGGAAAAATACGTGTGGGTAGATCCATATTAAAAATGTGGGGGCGGGGCGGGGGAAAGGCCTCTAAGGGGTGGGGGGGGGTCGGGATTATGATGTGAATAGTAATGATCTCGCGATGAGAACTGGCCTTGTTTTTATTCCCAATCATTTTCGATAGTTTACAAATGTCCTATATTTCCTCAAGAGGAAAAACACGTTATATTGGACAGATTAATCAATCGATGAGTGTGACTGGTTAATGGACAGTGTTGGATGTCTCAGCCACTCCCTGGCTTCGAGTCCCCTCTCCGCCGCAGACGTTTCGGGCCTTCCCAGGTCTTTGAGCCAGGCACCTAAACAATGAGGGGACTAGAACACACCCATGTGTTCTAGTAAGAACACACCCATGTCTTAAGGTTTCCCGATGGCACTGGGGGGCCAGGTTACCTTGGAGATCTCCAAGGACAGGGTTGCAGACTCCTTGCACCGCGGAGCCGCTCGGAGGCGCGCAGCCGCACTGCAGCAGATCCTGCCCCAAAGCGGGTCAGAGCTGGAGCCCACCCCCTCCATCCCTGAAACCCGACCGTGCACCGCTCCCCGCACCACCGCCCGGCTTCTCTTCCGCGGGGGAAAGGCCAGAACTGCAGCCCTGGGTGCGCCTGTGCGTCATCCGGTGGCCAACCTCCGGCCATCGCACGCTCCCCCTCCCCTGCCCACCGCACTCCAAACTGCTACCTTTCCAGCTGCGTCTTCCTAAATGTGCCCCATTTTTACCGACTCTACAAGTGGATCGTTCATGGGGAGCTTTGCCATGTACAAACCATCTGGTACTTTAGCCATAATTAATGCTTTAGCCCCGGGTTCCAAATACGGCTAAAAAGATGACATTTCGGGCAAAATAACGTGAAAACTGCAGATAATTAGCCTTCACCCTTGAATCCCAAGTCCTTTTCAAGAAAGGCCTGGCCCATCTAAACCCAGATGGGACAAAAGTGTACGCCTCGAGCCAGCCAGGAGTCGAACCTAGAATCTTCTGATCCGTAGTCAGACGCGTTATCCATTGCGCCACTGGCCCGGCACGAGTAACTTCCTCGCTGTCATGTAGATCACCGCTTACGCAGTTTCAACAGGCTCGCCGGCACTGGCGCTGCAGCGCTGCCGCAGAGCCAGCCCGGGGCTCCTCAGGCTCCTCCTTCCCCCTGCCAGCCCGCCCCGCCAATCCGCAGCGGCCACGTCACCGCGCTCCAGCCCTTTACGTGCGGCGCGTCTCCTGCGTGCGCTAGTGGGCGCCCTAAGTTTGTCCGCCGCCGCCTCCCGTCCGCTCGCGCGCCCGGCGGGGCGAGGGGAAGGGGTGGGACCAGGGCGCTGCAGCCGCCGCGCCAGGGTGACCGGTAGCGCCGCAGCCGAGGTGGCCGACGCGGGGCGGGGCGGGCGGAAAGAGGAGGAAGGAGGTGGTGTTGCGGGATGGCGGCGACCACTTATGAGCGGCTGAAGCTGTGAGTCCGCGGGCGGGAGGCTGTTAACCGAAAGGGGCGGCGGCGGGCGGGCGGGCGGGCGGGCGGCAGGTGCGGGCCGCTGGCTCCGGGGGAGGCGCCTGGGTCCCTGGGCGGCTGGGCGGCTCGGCCTTCGTCTCCCGGCGAGGCCGCCCCAACGCCGCGGCCGAGTCCGCACAGGCCCGGGGGCGGCGGCCTTGTCCGTCTTTCTCCGACCCGCGCGGCCCGAGAGCGCGGCTGCAGGCCGGGTCCTCACTGTGTGTGTGAGTGTGTGTGTGTGTGTGTGTGTCCTCACTGTGTGTGTGAGTGTGTGTCCTCACTGTGTGTGTGTGTCCTCACTGTGTGTGTGTGTCCTCACTGTGTGTGTGTGTCCTGTGTGTGTGTGTGTCGTGTGTGTGTGTGTCCTCACTGTGTGTGTGTGTGTGTGTGTGTGTTTTCTTTACTTTTTTTTTTTTAAAGATGTTGGCTAATTGTGTCCTTATTACTCAGCAGAGAAAGTTTCTTTTTTTGTTTGTTTTTTCTTATTTAATGGACCCATAGCCGCTTGTTGGAGTCCACACACAAATCGACAACCCTTTGGGCATCGAAGCCTCCCTGGCCAGTGCTTAGGAGGCGGGGTGGAGGGTGGGGAGGGTGAAAGTGAGGTGCAGTCAGTAGTCCTGCGGTCCTGAAGGATGTACTTGGCTTTGCATATTACACAACTCCAGCGGAAAGCAGGGTCTGAAGTCCACGTTGACAGGCGGAGGCTAATCCGGGGAATTTGGGCGCTGCAGGCAGACTTTTCCGTCAAGCCACGTCCTTGAGGCTTTTCAGACCAGGCTCTTGGTTGTTGGGGTTATAAATTAGGTCTTTGTAAGGTTATTTTGGCTTGTCCCGGGAAGAAATAAAAACATGTGTTTTCCCTTGGCGTTACGGGCTGGCCCCTACGCTTTTCTCGCTTTTCTCGCCTGCGAATTAACTTTGTTCTACTTCACTTGGTGTGTAATGCTTTAGCCCCAGGCTGGACATCCAGGGGCTGTAGTCTGAGAAGGTCTTTGGCCATAGAAGCAAGATGTAATCTTTGAGGAGCTTACCCATCCCTCCATACAGTAACATATCTTGGTTCTTAAGCATAGGTATCTCATTTCCTTTGCAGGGATTGGCAGACTTCAAAATGTGGTTTGGGCACACTTCTATGCTCCCCCAGCACCTCAAGCTCACTGAACTTTCTGGAAGGTTCAGAATTAAAGGAAGGGATGCAAAATTGAGAGGGAGGTCATTTCAACATCAGGAATCTTGTAGAAAAGAGGATTACTCTTCCCTCAGCCCATTCCTTTTGCCTCTTCTCTTTACTGCTGTAATTCTCTTTGAAAACCGCAGCTGCACACTTCCCTGCAGATTTTCCTGGCCAAGTTTCCTTATCCTCCCCCACTTCCCGTTTAAGGTGATGATCACCTTGTTGGTGGATGAGTCCAGCTGTGTCTTTGGCCCAGGGTGCCGGCTGGGCCTGTGTCACATGTGCTCTGCTGGCTAATTAGGTTATTGCTGTCCATCTGATAGTTACTAAAGGGCTTAATATGATCCTACGCCACGGCTCAGGTGCGATTTAAGCCACACGGAGCCTGGGCTTGATGCGCTCAGAGTTGGGTTACGGAATGCAGCTGAATTTTCCTGTGGTAAAGATTGAATGGGGTGGGGAACTTGAGCTGCCAAGGAGGCACTAAGTGCACCAGTCTAGATCTAAAAAAAAAGCTCTCCGTCCATAAGAGAAAGGAAATTGGGCCCTAAAGTGATGAGACGGATGCTTTTGTATTGATTTTGGGTGGGAAGTGGAAATTATAAATGTGGGCGAAAAGTAAATCTGGGGTTATGTGAAAGGCATTCTCTAATTTGTTAGTCTTTAACTTGTTTCCCTGACAAAAAGTTTTGAGTGTTTCTGTAAATGTAAAGATATAACCTTTTTGCAACTTTGTTTTTCTTGAAGGAGTTTGTGAGTTGAAATCTTCCCTCTTAATTCCTTTTTGGCTCTTTCTGCTGTGGGCATGCTGTCCAAGGTTTTTAAATGTGGCCTGATCTAAGGAATGTTCTTTCTTAGATGCATTTGGAGGTGGAAGTAGTTTCCAACCTATATTAGAATTGGTAGGACACAATAGCTGTTTTTAAAAAACGTGTTTCAAGATTTTTTATAAATAGGTTTTAATTGATTTTAGAGAGAGGGGAAGGAGAGGGCGAGAGAGAAACATGTGCCCAACCAGTGACCTTTTGGTGCATGGATGACTCCCTTCAACTGAACCACACCAGCCAGTGCTTGAGATGTGTTTTAAGAAAGATGCATACAAGAAATAGTTTGATAATATTTTATTACAAAAGTATTGCTGCTGGGTTTATTTAAATACTGAAGTACTTGGAATTCTACATAATAATTTGTTCTGTATCAGAGTCCATCTGTGTCCTGCTATTAAGTTCACCTTTCTAAGAGCTCTGGTTTCATCCTCTACTCCTTTGTTTACACTCTCCATTTTCATTTTATGGATCTTTAGGATTAAGTCCCCATTTTCAAACCATCTTTACTTTTAGCCTCTTCACAATTTGTGCTCTAATTTTATTTCCCAAAACTGCCCAGTGCCTTCTCCCCTCACACCCCCACTAGACTTGGATTTTTTTTTTTTTTTTTTTTTTTTTTTTTTTTTTTTTTTTTTTTTTTTTTTTTTTAGCTTCAAGCTTGGGCTTATTTTGATCCTTGTACCCAGAATGCCTTCTCCTCTCCCCTCTTTACATACTGAGCATATCCATGATAGAGTTGAAAGATATCAGACTTTTTTAGTCAGAACAGACTTAGATTCAGATCCTGACCTTGTTTCTTGCTTTGTGTCCTGGCCATGTCACTTTTTCTAAAATGGGTTCTCATCCACAAAACGAGAACATTACTATTTCATGGGATGATTCTAAGGATGAAATACCCAGGTACTTAACAGACTCTCACTTTCTCTGAGAAGCCTTTTTCCACATCATTCCCTTCACTGAGCTGCCCGACCAGTCAACTATCACAAGGATGAGACACTGAAAACGTCTATATGGTTTGCACATTCTGTCTCAGGATTGACTAATAGTGTATTTACTGGCTCTTGAACAAGAGGACCGAGCTACAGAGATCATTGTGTGCACCACTCACTTTGCCACCTAAAAATGATGAAATCACTATACATACTTTGTTTCTCCAACTAGGTTGCAAATATGTGGAACCTCTTAACCTTGATTTCTCTCTCCTCCTCCTCCTCCTCAGTATCTAGCATTAACCCTGTGTAGAGCAGATCTCCTGTGAATCACCCGAGGAAAGGAGCTTTCTAGTGTAGAACACCTACCAGCACTGCAAAAGTTGAATAGCCTGGAGTAATTTGGAATGTAGTCTTTTGAAGTAGCAACTTAAGTCATTTCATGTGTATTAATGTATTTCCAGTGGTTCTGTGAGGGCCTCATGGCTAAAGACAGGGAAATAGTTGCCCTGGCCCCACAGTCAGGTCACAGCCCAGCCACGGCCAAACTGGTCTTGGAACAGCAGGCCCAGAGTCTAGTGATCTTTCCATTACACTGCATTATTCAAGGGACCTTTTTCCCCTCTTATCAGATTGCTCTTATCTTAGTCTACAGACCTGTCTGGTATGGAAATGAGTCATTTATAATTGAAAATAGCTATGTCCATACGGATTTTTTAATATAGGAAACACAATGTTGATTTGTTCAGAATTTAAAATTCATACTTGTTAAGCATCCAGGAAATTCTTAATGCTCTATTACTCCTTTTTCCTTTTTTTAAAAAAATATATTTTATTGATTTTTTTACAGAGAGGAAGAGAGAGGGATAGAGAGTTAGAAACATCGATGAGAGAGAATCATCGATCAGCTGCCTCTTGCACACCCCCCACTGGGGATGTGTCTGCAACCAAGGTACATACCCTTGACCGGAATCGAACCTGAGATCTTTCAGTCCACAGGCCTACGCTCTATCCACTGAGCCACACCGGTTTCAGCTACTCCTTTTTCCTTTTAAGCGATTTGTGTATTTATGGATTAATGTCAGTGATAAAAATTTGAAATTACAGCCGAGACCGGTTTGGCTCAATGGATAGAGCGTCGGCTTGGGGACTGAAGGGACCCGGGTTCGATTCTGGTCAAGGGCATGTACCTTGGTTGTGGGCATATCCCCGGTAGGGGGTGTGCAAGAGGCAGCTGATCGATGACTCTCTCTCATCGATGTTTCTAGCTCTCTATCTCCCTTCCTCTCTGTACAAAATCAATAAAAAATTTTTTTTTAAAAATTTGAAATTACAAAATAATTACAAGTCCATTCTTGGAAACATTCAAAGCATTTTAAAGCATTCTTTTAAAAGGTCAACTGAAGTACCTGTAAGGCAAGAAGTGCTTTAGAAAGTGAATCAGGCAGGCTGACCTCTGAAGAAACATTGTTTCCTCCCTTAGGAAGTTCCTTTCTTCTTAAAGATTGTCATAGCTGTGAGGTCAGTCAGGGCAGATACATGCTAGCTACCCTGAGAACAGATGTAAACAAGCTACACTGTGACATAGGTGGTCTATCTAGTACAATGAACTTTCAGATTATTCACACATCTCTCTGCAAGGAAGGATGGAGGGAAGCTAAAATTATGCTCATAAATACAGGCAAAAGTGATCTGAAGTTTGTTTCCAAGGCCTTGGTAGGGTGGAGGTTCAGGCTAAAGAGTCTAGATTGGTGCTAGGCTGCATTAGATGACTTGCTGTGCTTGTTTTAGATGTGTATTCCCAAGCCCCAGTTAGGCCTGCTGAGGCCTGGCAGCCTGCAGGTCCAGCCAGCTGTCCTGGTAGTTCGTATGCACTCCAACAGGTATGTTGAGGCTGGGCAGAGCTGATGGAACAGCACTCTGGCAGGCCTGGAGCTCTGCGAGATTTTGCTTTGGGTTAAAGCTTCATGTTCGGTGGCATTTAGATCTGGTCTTATGACGGAGACTGGTTTTGGGGAGAAGAGGTTTTAGGATGGACAGAATAGGAAGTAAATAGGATCTCAAAGATTTGAGGAAAAAGATGGAATTAAAATGAACCGGCTTCCTAGAAATATCAGCTTGGATTTGGGAATTAGGTTGGGCTTCTGGGTGGTGTGGGGTGAACCTGGGCTAATAGGAGAGGGTCCATGGAGTCACTCAACGAGGGAGATACTGCTGGGACCCAAAGGGAAGAGGGAGGGGGTGGGAGGGAGCACCCTCTGGGTATGGGTGCAGTAGGCTCACCGGAATTATTTGAGGAACAACTTTCTTACTGCTTTCATAGAGCAGCTGCATCATTTTATATTCCCAACAATAGTGCATAGGATTCAGATTCTCCACAGCCTCATCGACATTTGTTATTCTATTTTGTTTTGCTTTTGATAATAGCCATTCTAATGGTGGGAGGTCAGCAAATAGTCATATTTTTTAAGTAGGTTAATTTTACTCATAGTAGTTTGACAGGATTTTTTAAAAGGTCAGTTGTTTCCTGAAATATATAAATGTTACATGGGGGGGAAAGTATGTTTTCGGATACTAGAAAATCATATTGCCAACACAAAGAAAATAAAAATGAAATCTGATGTTTTTATATTATAATTAAGTATATTGCCTTTCTTAAAATTTAACAAGGGTAATTTTTTAAAAGCACTCTTAAAAGCTATTGAATCCCATCCTAGCTGGTTTGGCTCAATGGGTAGAGTGTCGGCCTGCGAAAGGTCCCAGGTTCGATTCCAGTCAAGGGCCATGCCCAGGCTGTGGGCTCGATCCCCAGTGGGGGGCTTGCAGGAGGCAGGCGGTCAGCGATTCTCATCATTGATGTTTCTATCTCTCTGTCCCTCTTCCTTCCTCTCTGAAATCAATAAAATATTTTTTAAAAAGTTATTGAATCCCAGGTGACTGTAAGGTTAAATGTGTTTATATTAAATATAATAGAATTGCCCTATTAAATTTAATTTTTATTTTCTAATTTTATAAGAGTTCTTTATTGTCGCATTACATATGTTCCCCTCCCCCAAAAAACCCCCTTCAGCCTGCCCTGAATTTAATTTTTAGTTGTTTGTGATTTATTCCCCTCTCCCCCCCCCCCCCCCATATTTGGGCAGTAATCCATAAAAGGATTACTTTTATCAACCAAATGAAAGTTGATAATAGGGAGTAATCAACCAAATAAAAGTTGATAATAGGAAGTAATTTAAGTTATGTAAGGATTATGTTATTTTTAGCTATCTCCCAAAATATTTGTCATCTTAACGGACACTATAACTCTGGGTTGATGTTGAATCCCCTTCTTGAAGGAAACAAGGTAGTATTCTTGTTCAGTGAGAGTAAAATACCCATTGGATTCTGGTAACCTCACCAGAGGTTTCTATAGGACCGGAGTTCTTTTCAGTGTACAGTATCACTTTGAACTTTAGAGATTTTTTTTTTTTTATCACAGCATAGTTAAAGAACAAATCCTGTTCTTGAAAGGGTTCCCCTTGTCTTAACTTGTAAAATTTATTTCATAAAATAAGCAATGTGAGATAGTTTTATAAAAATGAGAGACATCACAGCAATTGAGGACCTTTCTTTTTGTAGTAGAGAGAGGATTTTTCTCCTAGATTTTTGGTTATAATTGACCATTTTTGGTCTTTTGTCTTGGTTTCCATGTATTTATTACATCAAAAACTCAGTATGGCCTGTTGACTAGTTAATTTTGAAAAACTGGCAAACTTGGCTTTGTAAAACACTGTAGACTTTCTAATCAGAGAAACAAACCACTTCCTTTTTCTCCTCTTTATTAGTTACATTATAACATCAAATCCAGTTAAAATTCTGACCTGTCAAGATCTTTTCTTAGCTAGGAATAAGGAAAACAGTTTTTAAAATTCTGTTTTAACTGAGCCAAAGAAGACATCAGTTAAAGGCCACATATGAAAACCAACTTAGCCCTGGCCAGTGTGTCTCTGTTGGTGGGAGCTTTATCCCATACACCAAGAGATCCCGGGTTTGATTCCCGGTCAGGGCACATACCTAGGTTGTGGCACTTAGGAGAAGCAAACGAGATTTGTCACTTCAATGTTTCCCTCTCAGATCAATGCTCCTACCCGTCTCCCCCTTCTTCCCCCCCCCTCCCCTCTTCCTCTCTCCTCACCCTTCGTCTCTCTAGAATCAATAGACATGTCTTCTGATGAGGTTTAAAAGAAAAAAACAAAACACTTTAATGTAGTTGTTTGTTATGGTCTCTAAGAAAATTGATTGGAACTTCTATCATTTTGTGTGAAAAATACTGAGGGGAATGGATAAGCTTAGAGTCCTTTCTGCAGAGGCTTGGTAGCCTGCTTGGTGAAGATTAAAGACAAAAATAGTAAAACCATACTCACCCACAAACTCCGGGTGTTTACTTAAGGCTTTCTGACTCAGTAAGTGCCGGGCAGTTAGTTCCGGTAGCTTTTGAAATGAAGCCTGGGAAGCGTAAAACGTAGAGAATAAAATCTATTAAGGTCAATTAAAGAGTGGAGGGAAGTGGAAGGAGGGAAAGAAGAGGACGTCAGCAAAGAGAAAGGCAGGTGACTATGAGTTGGGATGCTGCTGCTATTCTGACTAGTGGGATTCTGAGTCATTACTTGTCAGTACTCTTCTTAGCTGGCAGTCACTGTTCTTATCAAATGCTTAAGCCATTTTCAGTAACATTATCAGACTAGCCTGATGGCAGCACCAGCCACTTAGCTTCCCGCCGGATCTCCCAGAAGGTGAGCCCGTGGACTAGAACTCCCTGCCTTGATCCACAAGTACTCGGTATTTTAATCTCATACATGTATATGGTTTAAAAGGAAACAGTTCGCAAAGCTTATAATGAAAGAGACCTCCCTACCGCGCTTCTGCTCTCCCAGTCCCCTCTGCCCAGACACATCCACTCAGCTCCAAGCGATCGCTTCGGTATTTCACTCCAGACCACGTGTCTGTACTGCCGTGTCCTGGTTTTTTCACTTTTAGTCTTCTGATGACTTCCTGCTTTAGAAGATGAGAATTAAGCTTTTATACCACATTCTTTTCCTCTCCTCTCAGTGTAGTTATATTAAGATATTCAGTGGCCATATGGTTATGTAGATGTGGTTCAAATGAAGTCAGGAGAATAGTATAATTACATAGTCTTATAAAAATGTGTTGTTTTTTCTGGGTTTGAAAAGTGGCTGTTTTCTTTTTATTAACCTTTTATTAACTTTCAGTGTCATTCCCACTAATTAATCTTCAGTTTCAGCAGTAAAACTCTTTTCACACATATCAGGAAACTCAATTCATTTTCTTCTCTGAGGCTTACTCTGGAGCCTCTGCCCCTTGCTGTAATCTGGATGGGCTGTCCTTCCGGCCCCAGAGTTGTCCTATAACCTCTCTGCACCGTCATTTTCACGTCTCCTGTGTGGGATTCCAAATCTGACTCTTGATTTACTCTGTTTTTGTGAAACTGCCGTGTTTCCCCGAAAATAAGACATCCTCCGAAAATAATACCTACTTACAGGTTTCCTTCTGAGTGAAATATAAGGCATCCCCCGAAAATAAGGTCCCCCTAGGCTAAACATGAGAGATTTGGTCCACTGATTCTGAAAGAAATGGAGTCATAAGAAATTCACCAGGAAATTCAGGAATTGGATTATGATGATGTTCCAGAAGATGATGACATGATTGTCATTGAATAAATGAGTAAATTCTTGATACTGTAGGATTCACAGTTTGTCTGGTTTATGTTGACAACTACCGTACTACCGTACCATATACAGGTAATAAATTTCCTTTATTCTCATTTAACAATAAATGTGTACCATATTCTTTATGGAAAAATAAGATATCCCCTGAAAATAAGACCTAGCGCATCTTTGGGAGCAAAAATTAATATAAGACACTGTCTTATTTTCAGGGAAACAGTAATTTTTCCTTCTTTCTAAGAAAGAGAGCAAGAAGTGATTTTTAAGATATGGCACACCTGGAAATGTTTTTATTCTCTTGTAACACTTGTTTGATAGTATGACTATGTATAGAATTCTCGCTTAGAAATTATCCTTCACAATTTTGAAGACCTTGCTATTGAATAGTTCAATAGTGTGGCTGTTGAATGTTTCAGTGCTTCCTTTTCTTGTTCCCCCTCCCCTTCTCCTTGATCACAGTTGTGCCAGGAGCTTTTACACGTTGTTTCATTTAATCCCCAAGATTGAGCACCCGCACACCCAGAATCTTCTACATACCTTCATTTTCCTAACAGCATTTACCACTGCCTGAAACCACTGGTTACTTCCTAGTACACTGGTTGTCTTTCCTATTACAGTGTAACTCTATGATCCAGGACTTCATACAGTAGTACCTAGAACAGGGCCTGGGATGGGGAAGCACTGGTAACTTGGCCAACAACGTCAGGATTAGAACCTTATTTGATGGGTTTCAGAACTGAAGAACAGACAGGATGAATAACTTGCTCAAGGTCGCACAGCACAGGCAATCTGGTTCTATAGATTGGGCTGCTAACTACTATGTTACCTTCTGCACCTTGTTGAAGATAGCAAATTAGCATTTATTATGATTTTCTTGTGTGAGTCAAATTGGTGGTTTTACAGCAAATTAAAATCTTGTCAAAATTAAATGTACAAGTGAATTCATAAGGATTGGGTAACAACTTCATCAATTCAGAAACTGGGACAATGATGTATAATTGTTATAAGAAGTAGTTCTTTAGGAGTGTATTTCATTTGGTTTAGATATTTATGGTTTTAAATTTCTCCTAGGCATATCACAACTGAAAAATTTTACGTGGAAGCTTGTGATGATGGAGTGGATGATGTGCTTATCATCGACCGTGTGTCCACGGAGGTTACCCTCTCAGGTATTGTACAGCCAGGTTTACAAGTGTCAGAAAGATTTCATCCATAAGCTGCAATAATTATACTAATCAGAGGTGTGCCAGTGTGTGGATCTTCGCGTGTCTTAATGAAGTTTTAATTCTTGCTACCTCATTTGATTTCTATGCATTTTATGCTTTCTCTTTTTTCCAAAAAGGAGAAATGATTTTGAAAATTTTGCAATCTGTAAGGACGTAAAAACATAATTATTCCTTTATCTATACTCTTTCAGGATTGGTTTTGTTGATGTCCAAGTTCCTTCTAGCTGTAAGATTTAAGGTATTTTGAATGTGAGGAGATTGTTTTAGCATTAATTGTGTGGAATTTTTATAGCAGCTTTCAAAAAAACATTCATGACTGTAGGGTAATTTAATGAATGAAAAATAATATAAACATCACTGACTATAACTTTTGTTTTAGACAAATGATATTTCTAAGCTTTATCTTATCCATTTATCCAGTTATATTTTGGTTTTGGTTACCAATTTATACCCCCACTGCACTCCCAGTTGTGTAGAACACTGATTTCTGACTAAATTACTGTGAAATAATTTTGGTGACAAATTATTGTACCATTATCACATTTAAAATTTCATTTGTTTAAAAATTCATCTCTAGACCGAATCTATATTTTTTTCTTAAGTTCAGCATTTGAGTGACCATAGAATAGGTATTGAAGACACAGTAACTATCCTTTGAATAGATCAAGTGAAATATGAAAATATTGCATAGGACAGTAAAGTGCAAGAAAGGCATGACTCTACATTTCCATTTCCTTGGTTATGTGGTTAGTCTGGTAAGGACCATAAATAGAGTTTTTATTAGACCAAATGGAATTAGATCTCTGTTTCAGTTTGATTTGACATTTTTTGGTGGATGCTCTCTCAATATAGTTGATTGGTTTTAACTAGTCAGTGTCCTGCTCCTGAACTTCTATATCCCCTGTTGATACAACCTAGTGTTTTATAAAAAATATTTAGTAGAGATGTATTTTCAATTGTCTTTTACTTTTCATTGACATTTAATTTGTGGGTAGAGATTGCAGACACATTTGAGTGGGTCAAGAATAGTTTGGATGTAAAGATGATACCATACACTTACTTACTCATCAGTAGATACTTGAAGAGATATTTTGACCTAAAGCCAGTGATGATGAGGGGTGACTTGCTCAGTTTCTCTGCCAGTTGGAAATGCAGACCATTGCCACGGAAAGATTAATTTTCTTTCTTCCATGAAAAACGAACCTATTATAAATTATCATAGTTTTATTGCTATTCCTCTCCAGTTAATATAACTTACAGCTCTATCTGTTTAAGTTCATTAGATGACCTCAGTATACTCAGGATTTTCTTTGTGCTTTTCATTGCACTCATATTTCTATTTTTCATGTTGTTAATTGTGAGACAACATTGCTAAGTAAATTGAATTACTAGATAAAGCAAGTGAATTTTAGATCTTATTGAGAATTACTTTCTTCAGAATGATAGGACTGCCTTTAGAAAAAATAACTTGGATTTACAACAGTGTTTCAGTGATAATTGGACTGTGACTGAAAGAAAAGATTTATAGCCACATAAGTTTGGAAAACCATGAATTACACAGTGGCACAGTTTTATTTTACCTTAGGCCAGTGGTTGGCAAACTCATTAGTCAACAGAGCCAAATATCAACTGTATGATGGAAATTTCGTTTGAGAGCTAAATTTTTTAAACTTAAACTTCTTCTAACGCCACTTCTTCAACATAGATTTGCCCAGGCCGTGGTATTTTGTGGAAGAGCCACACTCAAGGGGCCAAAGAGCCGCATGTGGCTTGCGAGCTGCAGTTTGCCGACCACGGCATTAGGCCTTCTCAGAGCTTTTATTCTCCTGTGCATTCTGACTTCCTGGCAGAGGGACTAGGGGTGATGTGGTGAAGTAAAATAAGCTTATTTTATGGGGCATTACTCCCTAGACTGCAGTCCTACAAAATATGTTTTGTAAACATGGCTGAAAGTTTAACAGTAATGAAATGAACCCTATAGTCCAAGATTCATAGATTAATTTATTGATAAGGGCATTGATAAAGCCACAGTTCATGGTGATGCCTCCTATCTGCACAGGTTACTATTAGACACCGGAGGAGGCTCTTCCTTCCTCTGTCTCCCTGAACCTTCGCCTGCACCTCCCACATTCTTAGGCTGAGCTAGGCAAGTCTTTGCTGCATTCCATTAGCTGCATGTTGAGATTAAAATCATGTCTCGGCACTCCTCCCACTTACTTTTTAAATCACTTAAAGGGATATAGACCTTCTGGCAAGAGGTTGAATAAATTTAGTTGAAAATTGACATTAGAAATAACCCACAATTTACCTGATAGGAATGCTGAATCATATTACATTTGATATCATGTTTGGGATAGGCAGAGACCTTAGTAATGTGGACATCTTTATTTCAAATTCTGCCCAAATGGAAGTCTAATGAAGGAGTATTGCTTTCTAACAACAAATCACGTTTACTTAGTAGAAGTAATGATTGAAATCAAACTAAATTTCCCATGCTTTTGGTGAGTGTGTTCTTTGATTTTTTTTTTCCTTCTCTCTTAAAGTCAAGAAAGATATTCCTCCTTCAGCTGTCACAAGAACAATATTTGGTATCCTGGGTACAATCCATCTGGTGGCAGGTAAGGAAGAAATAAGAAATAAGCTAAGATGGACAAATAAGGTAATTAAATTGACACTTGGAGTATAAGATGAAGGAACACTTCATATCATGCTTTAGGCAATAATCTGTGGATTTAAGTATTTGTCATTACTTTCTAAAAGTAATATACCCCAAATGGCTACATTTATGAGCCTGAGGTCCTATTAAAAAAAGAATGTTTCATAAATCCTAAGAGGGTTTAAATAATTTAATGCATTGATGGATCAGAATATTCTACTTTCAACTCTGGACTGAGTTGAATATGATGTTGTGCATGTTAGAGAATGTTACCTGATTTTGAGTAATTAGAAAGTGGTTTTATTAGTCTAAATTTCATTTAATTGAACTTTTAAAATATTCATGTTGTTTCAGGTATTGTGGTAAATTATAAAAGATATATGTCCTGCCCTAGACAGTTTGGCTCAGTGGATAGAACGTCAGCCTGTGGACTGAAGGGTCCTGGGTTCAATTCCGGTCAAAGGCACATGCCTGGGTTAATTCTCAGTATGGGGCGTGCAGGAGGCAGCCGATCAATGATTCTCCCTCATCATTGATGTTTCTCCCTCTCCCTTCCTCTGAAATTAATAAAGATAATTAAAAAAAAGAAAGAAAGAAAATATGCAATACTTAAAAAAAGAAGAAAAAGATGTACATCCCTTTTGTGCTCACTTTACAGTCTAGTTAGAGGCATGTCTGTAGTAAATTACTGCAGTACAGTGTGACAAGGTGTAGGAGAGAGATGTGGCCCAGGGAGGGCACCTTGTGGGTAGAGCCTTGAACAGAGCTTAAGAATTAAGTAGTGGGAAAGGCTTACCCTGTTTTATTTGGGGGGCGGGGGAGGCGGTGGCCAGGGTCAGGGTTAGGGTTGGTGCATTGTGCCTGGTGCTGTGCTGGCTCCTTGATGCCTGACTGCTCATCTTTGTACTGATGCTCCAGACTTACAATGGGCTTATATCCCAATAGACACATCATATATAGGTTGAAAATATCCTAAGTCAGAAATGCATGTAATGCACCGAACTTCATAGCTTAGCCTGGCCTACCTTAAACATGCTCAGAGCACTCACATTAGCGACAGCTGGGCAGCATCTCTGATACATGAGCACATCAGTTTACCCATATGATCATGTGCCTGACGGGGAGCTGTGGCCCTCGGCCAGCACCAGCATCATGGGAGGGCCTCCTGCCGAATATTGCTAGCCCGGAAAAGATCCAAATTCAAAAATTGAGGTGTGGTTGCTACTAAATGTGTATCGCTTTAACACTATCGTAAAGGAGATAAATCCTACGTCGAACTATCATAAATTGGGGGCCATCTGTAATATTGCATTAACCAGTTATACTACTGCCCCGGCACTTTTCTCTACCATCATAGAATGACCGACAGGAAGGACATAGCAGTGGTGTAGATGGAACATTGCCTACAGTGGCCAGATCTCATAACTATGTTGATTTAGGCTAAACACTGGGAAATGCATTAGCAGAAGCCTGTCTGTCTTGGGGATGACAGGAGATGGAGGGAGTGAAGGAGGGAGGGTGGGAGGGAGGGAGGGCGGGAGAGAGAGTGGGAGGGAGGAAGGAGTGTCTTCTGTCTCTACTCTGATCTGCTAAACCAAAAGCTTTTGTGTTTGTCTTTCTGAGAAAAATAATTTGAACTTTCAATAGTAATTTTTCTAAATAATATGCTGGTCTTACTATTTATAAATTATAAAATTGCTTAAAAAAATTATGGGCCTTTTCTCTGTATAGTACAATACAGTCTCATTCGTTAGCCTTTGGAGTTTAAACAACAAGGACCACTTACTACTTTTGGCATTAGAGTTGCTTTATTTATATTTATCTGAGTTTGGTTTTGCTTTTTTTTTTTTTTGCAGGAAATTATCTAATTGTCATTACCAAAAAGATAAAAATAGGTGAATTTTTTAATCATGTAATCTGGAAAGCAACAGATTTTGATATTCTTTCTTATAAGAAGACCATGTTGCACTTAACTGATATTCAGGTAAGAAATGGAAGCGCTTACTAATTGCAAAACTCAAAGTAGTACCATGGGAGTGGAGAGGGAGGTGGAACACAAAGAACGTTTGCTGGATTTTTTAAGCCTAATTATTTAACCTTAAAGCAAGGTTGCTTTACATACCTTTACACCTAGCCATAAAATGTATTAAAAAATTCTTCATATATTTAATTTATCTTGGTTTGTATCTTTAAACTGACTCAATTCTTAACTTGTGAAATTTCATATGGAGAGAAAAGGACAAACAGAAAATGCATGTTCTCAACACCCAATTTTAACTTCATATATTTTTTAAAGAAATAAAATGTTAGATATCTTTGAAATTCTACTCATCCTAATGCGTTCCCTCTTTCCCCTAGAAAAAGTTTTCTTCACTTTTTCCACATGTGACTATAAATATGTGTGTACTATTATTTGTGCTCAAACAGTCCTCTTTTTGCATGATTCCTGTATGCACGGATTTCAGTTAGCATGGTTAGTTAATATCCGTCCTCCGACAACGTGGTTTATATTTCAGTTATCCTGGTATACTAACTAAAGATTATCCCACTAAAGATGAAAGTGCAGACAAAAAGTGACAACTCTAGGAGTGAAATTCAAATTGAACATAAATGGGGTGTGGAAGAAATAGCTGACTGTGCGAACGCTGATACTGTCGCTGTTCCAGAGGCTCTAGATACACAGCCCGAGGTCTCAGTGAAGGTGAACTTATTAATATTAATGAAGTGCTTATGTCTCACAATTACCAAACATCAACAATTATTTTTAAAATCTTTATTGATTGGTTTTTAGAGAAAGAGAGAAACATCCATTTGCTGTTCCACTTATTTATGCATTCATTGATTGATTCTTGTATGTGCCCTGGCCAGAACAACAGTTATTTTTTAAAACAAAGATTAAAATAAATGTCAATCTTGGTATTCATTGGGAAAGCCAGCTAAAATGATCATCAGAAAATAAAGATATTACTTTACAGCACTTTTCTTTTTAACATAAAAAGGAAAATAATTCTACCCCAACCAGTAAATTTTCTTAAGAACGGAGATGTTATTATTCTCTTGTTATTTACTGGGTTACTGGGCCCTTCGTGAATTTATGTTTTTCATTTGACAAATGAGGATAATTCTAATCTAGCAGGGTTGTTTTTTGAAGGTAAAAGAAAATCTATGTAAAGTACCTGTGACACTGTAGGTCATAATCTGAGTTGGTGATGTTTCATTAAAATAATCCTTCTGCCTATCGTGTAAAAAATGTGAAAGACATCAAAGGGATGGAGTTCTGCTTCATCAATTAATATAGTCATACATTATACTAGTTATTGAGTATCATCTGTGAGTCAGGAACTATCCTAGATCCTGGGGAAATGCTGAGCATTCATCTCTCTCTCTTCCCCCAACCCAGTCCTTGTCCAGTGATATTTAATAGGGCCAGACTAACAGGTTTTTATTTTCATTCTTCATGCTTCATGCTGACAGATTCCTTTCAAGTATGAAGTAGATTGATTTTTTTTAATTCCTTTGTTCACAGTTACAAGATAATAAAACCTTCCTAGCAATGATAAACCATGTCTTGAGTGTGGATGGGTTTTACTTTTCAACCACATATGACTTGACCCATACTTTGCAACGTCTGTCCAACACTAGTCCAGAATTTCAAGAAATGAGTCTCTTGGAAAGGGTAAGCTTAATTGTCAGATATTTTTACTTATTTGGATTTCTTCCATAAAAATATATATTGCTTTCTCTGAATCTTGGCTGTAACAGGATTATGTATGAGGCTTTGAAAATTACCATGTTTTAGATACATGTCAATTTCCAATTTAGGACCCCAGTCTGTATGTTACACAGGATTGAGAACGATGATGTAGTCAGAAATGCAATATAAATACACACATTGGAAATCCCTTAGCTCTAGGTGTTCTACAGTCTTACAGATATTAATAACATAATTAGATATTAATGCTTATAAAATAGATGTTCTAACAGGTAGTGAGTGTTCTTTCTACAGTGGAATTACAGTTTTTGCAGCTAGGAAAGCAACTTATTGACTTAAGAACTTGTTTTTTTTATTTAAGATGGGTTGTTATTGTTACTCTTTTTTTTTTTTTTTTTTTTTAAAGATGAGTATATCTTTAAAACTGGACCTCAAATTATCTCGATTTATAAGTGCTGCTATTCAGGAACCTGGATGATTGCTGTCTTGATTTTTTATTAACAAACCTTAGTTGTGTTTAGGCAGCAGAGAGAATTTAAAAGGTTGCTGTCAGTCATGAATTAGGTTGGACCATAAGAAATTGCCAGTAATTGACCAGTTTTTTTTTTTTTTTTTTTTTTTTTTTTTTTTTTTAAATATATTTTATTGATTTTGTACAGAGAGGAAAGGAGAGAGATAGAGAGTCAGAAACATCGATGAGAGAGAGTCATCGATCAGCTGCCTCTTGCACACCCCCTACTGGGGATATGCCCGCAACTAAGGTACATGCCCTTGACCGGAATCGAACCCGGGACCTTTGAGTCCCCAAGCCGACGCTCTATCCATTGAGCCAAACCGGTCCAGGCTTTTTTTTTTTTTTTTTTTTTTTAAATATATTTTATTGATTTTGTACAGAGAGGAAAGGAGAGAGATAGAGAGTCAGAAACATCGATGAGAGAGAGTCATCGATCAATTGACCAGTTTTGACCATTAAAAATGATAATTTCATTTAGCTGAACTTAAATCAATGTTTTAGTTGATTGGCATTATTAAGATTTCATACTCCAATCTAGTACAGTTTATATAGGTTTGGCTATAAATTCAGATGTAAGCTAAGCAATCAAGTTTGGTTTTTAACTACAAAGAAACTGTTGCTTTTTAAAGCAGTTGCTACATTCTGATTCTGCATTTGTCCAATGTCTCTCAGATGCCTGCTGTGGACCTGGCACTGTATTAGCCACGTAGGGACACAGAATGAACTGACATGGCCCTGCAGTCTCCTGGGGAAGCGAAGTCCAGGCAATCACAAAACAAGGGCCACTTGCTGCCGTGGCGATTTGTGGCAAGTGTAGCAGGTCCCAAAGGAAGGGTCTCACTCTTGTCTGGGGAAGGCAGGGACGGCTTTACAAATAGAACTTTTGAGCTGAAATTGTCTTAGTTGTCAGGTGACCACGGGAGAAGGAGGTTCCGGGCAGGGATGGTGACAATATTGGGCTAATCTGAAAAAGAAGCCGTCCCATCGGGGGAGGGGAAGGAATATTTTGTCAGCTAATCAAAAGAGTTGTTCGAGTTAACATAGGGAATCACAAAAGTGATAGAGGCACCACCAATGCTTTAAATGTTTTAGCTTCACGTGAAATTTTACATGGACTGGTCAGTTTTTTGTTTGTTTGTTTTTTATGTAGGACCATAGGCTTCTCTTTGTTTTTGGTTCCTTAATTCCTAATTGTCTTCTCTGGATAAATTACATCCATAACACTTCCCAGTTTGAATGTCTAAAGGTTCCGACACAGAGCATTCTGTTCGCAGAATCTTATAGATTTTTCATGGTGCCATTCCCACTTCTAATTCAGCAGCAGCTTTATTCAGCAATTTGCCTTTTATCAAGTTAAATTCCAAAACATTCAGCCTTATAGAAACAGCAGCTTGTTTTTAAATCACATTTCATTGATTTATAAAATATTTCGTTGTGTAACAATAACAAGTTCAGTTGGCACAGACCAAAGCGAACACACACCTGAATCAATCTCGGGAAGTGTACCATCCACCTGGTTATAGCCAAGCGCAAGAGCCACTCCCTGCAACTCTCAACTCGTGGTCGTGGGGGTGGGGTGGGGTGGGAGTGGCGTGTCAGTCGGTGTGTTTTATAAAGAGAATGGAGAGAATTGGTTATCTCCTGAGATGTTGAAGGAGCTTCTTCTGTATTAAGTTTGAACATCAGAATGGCCAGAGATGAGATTAGACAGTTAAGTGGGGGCTGTCAGAGATGATTAGACAGTTAAGTGGGGCCTGGAGAGGCCATGCAAAGCTTAGGCCCTTCAGTGACAGAGAGCCAGCGAAGACTTCCAGCAGACAGGAGACCTGACCTACCTGTCCCGCTAGAGGATTGCTGGCAGCGTGTGAGGGGACCAGAGGGGGGGCAAGGCCAAGACTTCTTTAGTTAGGCTGGAGTCCGGTGCTGCTGAGGCGGTGGGAGGAGGGATGTAGAAGAGAGAGGATTTGGAAGAAGACTTAGGACTAAATTGACTAAAAATATGAGAAAGAAAGATCCTGAGAGGACTCCCAGGCTTCTGGGAGCAGCACTGGCTTGAGGCAGTGAGGAAGGAAACACTGAGGAGAAGGACCAGATTTGAGGGGAAGAGTTTTGTTTGGAGCCTGCCAAAGCCTCCAGGAGGAAACATGGATTGTCACAGGTGTTTTTTTTTTAGAAACTCACCTTGCCAAGAGATGTTTTATTAATTGTAAAACTTCCCTCTCAGGCAGATCAGCGGTTTGTATGGAATGGTCATCTTCTGAGAGAACTTTCTGCGCAGCCAGAGGTAATGTCCACTAAATAAAACCTGCTTGTTTGTTACAATCCAGGTTTTAATTGCATACATAGTATAAATGGCTCCCTAATCGCCAAAGATTTGGGTAAATAATTCTAATTTAACTCTGTTTATAACTATTAAACTTGAGTCAGGTCTCCCACCTCACATTGTTGTATCTCCTGTAGGAGCTTTAAGTAAAAAGACTTTTTATAAGTAACAGGGAGATGATGGGTTTTAGTGGACGGATAATGGAGAAATGAGGGGCAGGAGCCTAGACCCAGGTGAGTGGAGAGCTCTGCATTGGCCTTCCTTAGGGATGTGATTCCATGGGCGTCACCTTCCTCTGTCCTCCCTTTATACAAATGAAGTACAAACAAGGACGCATAATATAGTCACCTGGTTAAACAGATTTGCCAATAGCTTTATTTGTTGCCATGTGCTTTTCTTTTTGGGGACAGGTAGTTTGAGCTGCAGACAGCTAGTGTGGGCACATCTTTCCCCAGAGGGGTGGAGTTGTTGGAGACAGACTGGGAAGGAGGGAGGGAGATGTTCTGCACCTGCAGTGGTTTCATTAGTGTTCCGAGCTCGGAGTAGTCAAGCCCGAACAATTAGAGCACTTCTTGAATTTTCTAGTTGAAAAGATGTTACATTAGAGAAATTTCTTTAAAATTAAGTTGCCTATAAGATTACTACCTTGTTTATACTCTTATGTTACCTCCTCCTGTGTGAATACATTTTATATAGCGCTGTTCGTTTACTTTTAAACTTTATATAGTGCTGTTTGTTAACTTTTAAACTCTATTCCCAAGTGTAATGTATGTCTTCATTTCAGGTCCATCGGTTTGCTCTCCCAGTATTACACGGCTGTATCCTTACATGATACTACTCTGGTTCTAGCAAGCTTTATTTGAATACTGTTACCAGGCAGATTTAGTGACAACCTCAAATATTGCATGAGGAGATCTCAAATATTGCAGAATAAAATCAAAAGCAATTCTAATTCTGTAATTATCTAATTGTAAGTTTACTTTAAAAACTAATCTTTATCATAGAGATTATAATAAAAGGAGGGAAGGAACGTGAGCTGGCTGTTGAAAGACAAGCACTCTATGCTGAGTGCCTAGAATCAGTTGGTGTCCTGCAGAGACCGAGGTGATCTTCCTGTCTAGGCGATTTTGGAATAGTTTATTCATAAGGAAATAACATTGTCACAGGCTTAATCTAAAGCTTTAAGTAAATGTAATTTCTTGATTAGAGGAATAGTCACAAGTTTTGCGCACACACTGAGAGATCAACAAGATCCAAGGCCCCAAGGCCGGCTCATGCCTGGAGCAGAGAGTGGCGGTGTGCTCAGAGAAGTAGCTGTGCCCAGATTATACAGGGCCAAAAGGGCGTGCCTTTTACTTCAGCCGTGATGAGAAACTGTTGGGATCTAAACAGGGTTGGCATGATAAGACAGGCCAAAGGAGAGCAAGGGAGGATGCAAGGAATGATGAGGAGGCAGCCTCGGGAATCCAGGGGAGGGGAGTGTTGCCTAGGACTTAGAGGATAGCAGGTATGGCGGTGAAAAGGAGCAGGTTCTAGGCATATTTTGCAGGTAGAACTAGTGGGATTTTCTGACAAATTGTACATGGGATATAGAAGAGAGAAGCTTTCTGCAAATCTACTTTTTTGATGAGACTACATGGAAGGAAGCCTCCACTGAGGTGGGGAAGAGCCTGGAGGTGGGAGGGAGGCCGAAGAGTGGTCAGGGTTCCATTCGGACATGTGAAGCTTGAGATTCCTGAGACATCCAGGTAGGTTTAGTCATACCCCACTCCTCTCTTCATACACGTGACTTCTCTGTATGTTACGCTTACTTAATGTAGTGAAGTCATTACTATGCACTCGTGTTCCATTAATGGAAAGTACTTCGATTGGATTCTCATCTCGAGGAGGAGTTGCTTCAGAGCTGGCGTGCGCTATTACGTGAGAGGTAGGATTAATTTCATCCACATGCTGCAGTTCTGCCTTATATCTGTCACTGCTGAATGTTTTGTTTTAACAGTGAATGAATGTTTTGTATTTTACTTGTCTTCTTTATCATTTGAAAGCCTCAGTAGATATTTATCTGCTGCTTCATTATAATAATTCGATAGGTCTTCTGTGCCTTACTCCGTTTCTTCCTGCTCTAAGAGGTGCCGATCATGTTATTTACACTGCTTCTTCCTGCTCTAAGAGGTGCCGATCATGTTGTTTACACTGCTTCTTCCTGCTCTAAGAGGTGCCGATCATGTTATTTGCTGGATGTGTGACAGCAAGCAGGACTCCTTGTGTAGTTTCAGTAACCTGAAATCACAACAGAAAATATTTTCTCTTATTATTCTTGGTTTCTTTGTATGCATTAAGCTACACATGTGACTTTATGCCTTCAACTTTAAAGATTACATTTGTTCTCTAGGCTTTATACTAGCATCTATTAGTTTTCTGGTCATGTGTTAATGCATTTGTTTTTATAAGTACTTTTCCACTAATTTGAACTGACTTAATTCTCTCCAAGTTAAACTGAATTAGAGTTTCTGGTGTGTTTCTTATGTGATAAATATAGTTAATTTAATTTTTTCCAATTTAGGGATTGATTCTGAAGGCCATGCAGCTAACTTTGTAGAAACAGAACAAATTGTGCACTACAATGGAAGCAAAGCTTCGTTTGTCCAGGCAAGTGAACATGTCTGTGGGTGGGCAGCCAGCTGAGCTGGCCTTTCTGCCTGGGTCATGATTTTGTCACACTGGAATTTCTCTGCTCCCCTCCTTTTAAAAGTAATATCTTTGTCTACGAAGTGGAACTAGTTCACTCAAAACAAAGGTATGCCATTAGCCTGGCAAGCCTGACACTCAGCTTTCTGGCATTTCCTGCCCTTGAATTAGTCCCTAAAGGAGAGGGTAGGCATAGGAGGTGCAGCGGTTATGGAAACGGAACCACCTTTCAGCCGAATTCTTTAGACTTATTCCGGGCAGTGATGCTGGGACAGTGGACTCTACCTGCCCTGACTTCATTGTGAGATAATCTCCTTTCTCGCTGCCTCCCTTAGGAGTTGTGGATCACTTGCTATTCAAGAGCATTAGTAGCTAAACATATATGTTCATAGACATGTTCATTTGAGAATGAATACAGCCATTTTCCAGTTTTATTATAATGCCAAATTATTTAACAGACATAACTTGTTAATTTTTACTCCGATAAATTGATTTTAGAATTTAGGGAAACACTAAACTGTGTACTACCTTAGCACCATGCATATAAAATCAGAAGCAGAAAAGGGCCTTTCAGATGTATTCCCACAATATATGAACTTTAGATTAGGAGCAGGCACACATGGACTTCTTTCATAGTTGGTAGGTTGTATATATTTTTTTCCTTTGTAGTATTTGATATGTATAAAACCTGACAGCATGTAAGCTGAGAAAAACAAGTTGGCGTGTATGCTTTATTATTGTTCTTTCTTCTTTCTTTTCACATTTCTCTTTTCTTTTAGACTCGAGGATCAATACCAGTTTTCTGGTCTCAAAGACCAAACCTCAAGTACAAACCACGGCCACAGATCAACAAAGTAGCAAATCATGTATGTATCTTCCATGCTTTCCTTACTGGCTAAAAATAGCTTATTAGCATTTTAATTTATATAAAGAGCACATATTTATTCCTCGTAAGGCAGAATCCATCATCTTTGAGGCCTTTCTCCTTGGGCCTGGCACATAGTGAACCTAAACCAAAGGGTGTATAGGTGGCATGTTGGAAATACAAAAGAATAAGCTGTAGTTGAATGCTATCACAAATTTAGATTTTAGAGATTTCAGTAAGAACTGCAACTAGGTGGTATTTAGAGTATTTAGTGTGTTCTATTTGATACTGTGCTCGAAGTTAAAGTAGAATATTGCATCTTGGAGTAGAAAGGCTTATAATTGCTATTGACTACTTGGTACTTAGAATATCTAAAAGACATTTTTCTATAGAGGATATTTAAGGAGATACTTTACATCACCTTATAAGTATTCTTATAGTGTCCTCTGGTAAATGGAATAACTCTTCTTTTCTTCTCTAGATGGATGGTTTCCAAAGGCATTTTGATTCACAATTAATTATTTATGGAAAACAAGTCATACTCAATCTGGTATGTTTCTTACTTGTTTCTAGGGAGCAGAACAGACTTTTTTTTAACCTAACATAAAATTCATCACCATTTTTAATTGTGCACTTTAGTGACATTAAGCATGTTGCGCAGCCATCACTACTGACTATTTCCAACTTTTCCTCATACCAAACAAACTCAGGTCCATTAAACTTAGCTTCTTATTATCTGTCTCCCTTCAGCCCCAAGTAACTCTGATCTACTTTCTTATATTTATAAAGTTGACTGTTCAGATAATACTTGTTCCTTTGTGTCTTGCTTATTTCACCTAGCATAAATTTGTTAAGGTCCACTCATGTCAGCAAGTATCAGAATTTCATTCCTTCATTGTATGTGTATACCACAGTTTGTTTATCCATTTATTCATTGATGGACATTGGATTGTTTTGAACAGGGGTGTAAGAATTCCTGCTCTTAATTCCTTTAGCTATATACGTAGGAGTGTCTTTTTCTTGATTGGACGTTTTCTTGGTTGCTGTAAACCTTTGTTTTCCAAAGCTCCTAAAAAGTTGATTCAGACAGCTTCTGGTTTTCTTGTAAGGGAATAAGAGCTTAGAGTTTCCTGGTCCTCCATTTTGCTGATGTCACTCTCTCCTTTTTAAAAAAAAATATATTTGTATTTATTGATTTGAGAGAGAGGGAAGAGAGAGAGAGAAAAAAAGTTGATTTGCTGTTCCACTTATTTATGTACTCATTGGTTGATTCTTGTATGTTTCCTGACTGGGATCAAACCTGCAACTTAGGAACAATGCTCTAGCCAACTAAGCTAGCTGGCCAGACATCACTCTCTTTTTTAAAATAAATTTAAAGCTTAGTGTTTTTAAATTTTTTACAGGTTAACCAGAAGGGCTCAGAGAAGCCACTTGAACAGGCATTTGCAACAATGGTGTCCTCCTTGGGAAATGGAATGATCAGGTACCTCACTTATAAATTTGTTGCAGGTCTTTTTGGACTAGATGTTTACTTGCACATATACACGAGTATATAGATCACACATCCTGTATAATAAAAGCCTAGTATGCTAAGTGTCTGACTGTTCAACCAGTCACTATGATGCACACTGACCACCAGGGGGCAGATGCTCCAATCGGTAAGGTTAGCTTTCTGCTGGGGTCTGACAGATCAGGACTGGGTGAGACGGGCCAGACACACCCTGGAGCCCTCCCTTGGTCCCTCCCTGACCCCAATCGTAATCAGATACTTAAGAGACACACATCTTTTCAATGTTAAAAGATGGGGTGCCATAGCCTGGCCTGCGCCCTCTCGCAATCAGGGACCCCTCGGGATGTCAAGAGCCAGTTCTGGCCTGATCCCCTCAGGCCAGGCCAAGGTACCCTTCCAGTGCCCAAATCTGGTTGGGTCATGGTTTTGTTGGCTTGAAAATTTCTGACATAATTTCTATTGCAGAATAACTTCTTAGCAGTTGATTTTAATTTGAACTTTGCAAAAATTTAGTCCCTGATTAAAATCCCCTTCTAGAAGTTCTGCATCACTATGATCATTAGACCATGAATTACATTTCCTCGTGGTAGCTTCGTGAGGTCTCTGTGGTCACAGCCCCCTCATGAGCTGGAGCACTTCACTCCGGCATGGTGGCCCTGTCTGAGCAGCAGCGGGCCTCTCCTGTAAGTCACCACCAGCAGTTGCAGCCTCTGTGTAGCCTTATCAACAGAGAGCGATTCTAAGATCAGCAGTCGCCTGTGAAGAGGTGCAAGGTAATGAGTCAGCCCATCTGGGCTTTCCGTGGCAGGAGGAGGCTGTGCTCTGGTAGGAAAGAGTCACAGACATGCGGAAAACCTTCCGAAGAAATAGTACTGGGTTATTTGGAGTTCGGCGGTAAACTAATATACTTAAAATTATTATATTTTCTATTAAAATAAAACTATGTAACTCCTTAGAAGATATGTGATTTAGGTGCCACTGAACTACTTACATTCTTTGAACAAGCCTAGAGCTATTCCTTCTGGTCAAAGCACTCCAAAAATAACTGTCATGGTGTCACTTTTATTGGAGCTGTCACCGAAAATGCTTCCCTCACTCCCGTCTTCCCAGTGTTAAACCTCTCAATTGGTTAACCTCTATTTTCATACTTATTTCTAGTTTTGTTTCTAAATTTTCACCTGCAATTACAGAAATGATAGGAGACCCTTTCTTGACCTGCTTACAACAAGCCCACAGTCTGGGAGGCCCCGTCAGTTTCTCAGGCCAGAGGTGACACCGAGAGCAGACACCGCCTCTGAATTGTACTCTGTAGATGAGTGCAGTGTCCTTCCAGTCCGACCCTGTGGCTCAGCTTGAGCCTGAGAGGGAAGTCAGGCAAAGTGAGACACGTGAGGATCTTCATGTGTCCGTGGTGCTTGGACCTCTGTCCACTCTTCCCCCCTTAACCGCCAAGAATTGGTTCATGATTTTCCCCTCTCGAGGGGCATTTTTCAGCTCCTAATAGGCTGCCTTCACTGATAAATGTGTTTGAACATTGAAAAGATATGTGTCACTTAAGTATCTGATAACTGAATACAGTCCATCATAGTAACAAACAGGAAAATTTTATCTACTGTGTGTGTGATGCATAGATATTGGCAAAGGGAAATTTATTGCTAGTATGGTCAGTAACTAACCAGAGTGGAGGCCATTCTGCCTCTGTTCTTCCCTGGTACACGCCACCATCTAACCGTTTTGAACATTTGAATCACTTTGAAAAACAATACAGTGGGGCCCTCTCCTCTGCTCGTGGGGGTGAAGATAAATGTGTGCCAGATACTCAGTCTGAGAGGGCTCTCTTCTTTTTTTTAATATATTTTATTGATTTTGTACAGAGAGGAAGGGAGAAAGATAGAGAGTTAGAAACATCGATGAGAGAGAGACATTGATCAGCTGCCTCTTGCACACTCCCTATTGGGGATGTGCCCGCAACCAAGGTACATGCTCTTGACCGGAATCGAACCTGAGACCCTTCAGTCCCCAAGCCGACACTCTATCCACTGAGCCAAACCGGTCCCGGCGGAGAGGGCTCCTTTCTGTTGCACACCTGGTTGCTGCACCTGAGCCTCACTCCTCCCACGCTGAGCTGGCTGCTCTGCTTTCTGTCTGAGGGCCTCTAGCGGAGCATGTGAAGGAGGAGTGGGTGCGTTTTCCCTCTGTAGGTTACGAGCTAGAGGAGGTGGGTGTAGGCACAGTGTAAACCTGAGGGAAGGGGCCTGCTGTCCCAGGATAGCTGTGTGCTGTGATGTATAATAGATGCAGTGTTTCCCAAACTTTTGATATATGGGTACCCCCTTCTATAATTTTCGTAATGCTAAGTATCCCTTGTACTCAAGAGAACGTAGAATTAGGCGCAGCTAAGCACGGTGCAGGGCATACCCCCATCAAACTCTGGTGCGACGCGTACCCCCACCAAACTCTTCCCGTACACCTGCGGGTATGCGTACCATACTTTGGGAAATACTGTGAGGACAGTCAGCTAGAAAGGTGTTGTTGTTTGAGGGAAAGTGAATAACCTTTGGTCAGTTTTGAATATCTTTTGTTTTGGTAGATACATTGCCTTTGACTTCCATAAGGAATGTAAAAATATGAGATGGGATCGACTAAGTATTTTATTGGATCGGGTAGCAGAAATGCAGGATGAATTAAGGTAAGCTATCTTATTTCCCTGTGGAGGTCATGGGAAGAGGTCTGTGTAGATATTAATCATATTTATTCATTGTCTAGCAAACTTACAAATACACTTCCCTGGATTGACAGTACTTCTCCATACTTCCATTATTTTTAGAATTTTCTTGTTTTTGTTTTTAATATTTTTTATTGATTTAAGAGAGGATGGAGGGGGAGAGAGAGATAAAAATATCAATGATGAGAAAAAATCATTGGTTGGCTGCCTTTTGCACTCCCCACACTGAGGATAGAGCCGGCAATCCAGGCATTGCCCTGACCAGGAATTGAACTGTGACCTCCTAGTTCACAGGTGGATGCTCAACCACTGAGTCATACCGACTGGGCTAGACTTTTTTATATTGAAAAGATGAGACTTTATAATTTAGAAATATTTTTAAATTCTTAAGAATGATCCATAATGGTATTTTTGTTTTTATGAATTATCTTTCACACATTTATAATTTTTTACATAATTGAAGTTTATACTGTTTAATATTCAGTTGTTTTCACCAAACATTCCGTTACAGATTTGTGTCATTAGCTTTTCTGGTCCTTGCAAGGATAGTGTTTAATGGTATTCTGTGTTCCCTGTGTCACGATACAGTTTCAGTTAAATGCTTTCCTTGGTTAAGTATTTGGTTTGTTTCCTTTTCTCTTCTGCCGTGAAAGGTGGGTTGCAGTGAATCACTCTGAGTGTGTATGTTGCTACTTCTGTTAAATTATTTCCTAAAATAAATTCTTGAGAGTAGAAATTAATGGATCAAAAGGTCTGAATATCCTCATGGCATTTTTGTGTGTGTGTGTGTGTTTACCGTGTTATTTACTGAGTTGTTCACAGGTTTACTGTACTCTGTGCATATGCCAGTCTTTACTTACTTTAAAGCCAGAAGAAGGAATGGAGACCATTCTGTCTGCCTTAATTAGTGTTATCCAGTTCTCATCGCATGCTGTTCCATGCAGTCTGCCAAGCACTTTGACCTCTGTGTGCTTTCTGCATTATCTCACTCCCACCTTCAAGCACCCAGGGTGGTGCTGTCACCTTCATTTTGTAATGAAAAAATTTAGGCTTGGAGAGATCAGGTTGATCATGTAAAGTCACACAGTCAGATGCCAAAGGAGTAAGGCTAGTAAATCAGTTGCTTGCTGTCAGAGTTGTTTGTGTGGTCGGATTCTCTGAGCAGATTGTTAACAATACAGGGGACTCGGGACTGGAGACCAGGTTGGCTCCAGTGCAGACATCCGATGGTTAATGGGAGAAAGGGAGGCTGATTCTTCAAATAATACCCCATTAACCTTATAACTGTTGTATTATTTAAGAAAGGATTTAAAAATGTTTTTAATGCACAACACCAACCCTTGCTTTAAAAATTCTCAGTTATTTTAACCCCAAGGCCAGCCATCTTCACTTTGAACAAACAGCTCAGGGAATCCTGACATGGTCGCACAGGGCTCTTGCTTTAAGACATCCTGACACATGGGACGGAGGGGGGATGATTATGTCAGGCAAGCCTCCTCTGGCCTTAGGGAAGCATGGTTGATGCCATGGCAACCTTTATAACCTCCAGCTGAGCTTCCTCACAGTTCTTGCTTAGGTCAGAGGTCGGTCGGCAAACTCAGTCCACGGAGCCAAATATCAACAGTACGATTGAAGTTTCTTTTGAGAGCCAAATTTTTTAAACTTAAACTTCTAATGCCACTTCTTCAAAATAGACTTGCCCAGGCCATGGTATTTTGTGGAAGAGCCACACTCAAGGGGCCAAAGAGCCAAATGTGGCGCGCAAGCCGCTGTTTGCCGACCACTGTAGGTGAAGCAACTTGTGATGCTATAGTTGTTGTTTGGCTGGGGAGTTCACTAGCCTCAGCCCTTCAAATGGCTTTCTGGTCTGTGGTAACCAAGTATCCTGGATCATGCATTTCCTGTCTGACATTTCAGTTTACTGGTTTTAATAATGTTACTTGATTAGAGTCCTATGTTATAAGCGGGATGTCCTTAGTAGATTAACTGACTTTTATGAGAGTGTTTATACAAATATGCTTTAGTTATTTTCTAGTGGACTCTACTGGCAAGGTGGTGACGAACCAGGAGGGCGTGTTCCGCAGCAACTGCATGGACTGCCTGGATAGAACCAACGTGATCCAGAGTCTGTTAGCTCGGCGCTCGCTTCAGGCCCAGCTGCAGGTGCAGATGCTTTTCTTTCTTTTTTAATGTATATGTCTATTATTTCAGAGAGGAAAGGAGAGGAGAGAGAAATGTCAGTGATGAGAGAGAATCATTGATCGGCTGCCTCCTGCATGTCCCCTACTTACGCTGAAGTCCACAACTTGGGCATGTGCCTTTGATTGGAATTGAACCCGGGACCCTTCAGTCCACAGGCCAAAGCTCTATCCACTGAGCCAAACCAGCTAGGGCCTTCTCTTATTTTTTTATTGATAGCAAAAAATTATAGATACTTCATCTTTAAAAGTCAGTAACAAAAAACATTCATGTTGCCCTCATCCTAACCCAGCTCATGTTTTCGTGTCTTGCCATCTGTGGCTGTGCATTTTCTGTGGTCAGTATGTTCATGCACAAGTTTCACTCTTGCCTTTTCCTCTAGCATCATATGTGTAATAATTTTTAAGGGTTGCATTCAATTGTATTATCATTTTCTAAGTCATTTAGATTGCTACATTGTTGGCTTACAAATAACACTATAGATAGGATATCTGCATATATTATTGTTACTTAGATTATTTTCTTTGGGTTAATTCCTGGAAGTTCCATTACTGAGTTAAAGGGAATAATATGTGTGTGTGTGTGTGTGTGTGTGTGTGTGTATATATATATATATATATATATCTTTTCAAAATGATTATGCCATTTAGATCACTTACACTGACATCAGCCAGCAGTAAGTGATCCATTTTATGGAACTCTTGCCAGCATTAGATATTTTCACTTCAAACTTTTTTCTATTTTAATAGTACACAGTAGTACCTCCAGGTTGTTTTAATTTGCATCTCTTACTACTGGCCAAGGATATTGACTCCCAGGTAAAATGCTCTCACACAGCCTTGCTTCATCATTGAGATCGTGCTGTTCTGGAAAATAGATGTGAATATTTTCTTCTATTTATGTTTGGACTTAAAAACGTGTAGCATTCAACTTTTTAGTTCATATTGGCATTTGTTGTGAGGGGCAAACAAAAATGCATCCCAAACGGTTTCCTCTGAAATAATGAGGAAGCATTCAGCTTTGTTCCCGCGGTTGTGTGGCACCCAGGGAGGAATGGTGGCAGCAGAGTGCCTCTCCGGATGAACTGTCCCCAAACCCTGAGGGAGCGTGTGCCAGGGCGTGGACTCCCCGTTGGAGGTTCTCGCTTCCTGTTGAATTGGGTGCTTGTCGGTCTGTTGGGTTGACTTCAGAGTGTTTTTCAGTAGCGGAACATTAGGAATGGTGTTTCCAAGGCTGATGAACAAAAACCTACTTAACCGGGTTCTGTAAGCCGCAGTGAACTGGTCCAGTGCCGAATATGGTGGGATAGACCTGACCCATTTTAGACGCTCTGGGTGGGAACCTCGCTGGCGTCTCAGTGCCCGCTGGGGCAGGGACGCCAGGGGTGCCTTTTCCCACTTCCAGTGAGGGCACGCCAGTGCTGTGTCTGAGGCAGGGCTTTCTAATCAGTGGCCAGTGGGTCCAAAGGGGAGCCACGGGGAACTCGGGATGGCCAGGAATGCCTGAGCTATGTGAAAGGCTGCACAGGTGTGCAGTTTGTGGGCAGGTAGAGTTCATCCAGTTCTCGCTGGTTAGGGTAAGTTTGGGGTGAGGAAGTCTGGGGATGGTGAACTGTGGGGAGGGCAGCGGGGTAAAGGCAGTGGAAGGAAAAGCGATGGCAGAATCTCACAGGAGCTTTCACTCTCTCCTTTCCTCTCCCTCTGCTCCTCCCCAAGTACAGACAGCCCTGCCTGCTCCCTTGGTGCTGGGGCTGCGGGGAGCCCTCAGAGGGGCTTTGCCCCCAGGCTGGGCAGAGGGCCTGGGTCCGTTGGGACCTCACCAAGGAGCACACCTCCTGCCTGCAGCCGGCACAAGAACCACGTGAAGTGATTTGAGGATGGTCTGCTGTTTCTTGCCCCCTTTTTTAGTTATCCTCACCCAAAGGTATTTTTCCATTGATTTTAAGAGTAAGTGGAAGGGAGAGGGAGAGACTGAGAAAAACATGATTGGTTGCCTCCTGCATGCACCTCAACAAGGGCTGGGGAATCTGGGACCCTTCAGTCCGCAGGCCAACACTCTTATCTGCTGAGCCAAACCAGCTAGGGCAGGACGGTCTGCTTTTTCTTTTAAATCCTCGGTGCTGAAATCTAGTAGGTGTAAACATGGGGTCCTTCTTATTTCAGAGACTAGGTGTTTTGCATGTGGGACAAAAGCTTGAAGAACAAGATGAATTTGAGAAGATTTACAAAAATGGTAGGTATTTTCTTTAATAGAGGCAGAGTTACTCAGATTTTGAAATAAATATTTTAAATTTAGAATTCTGGTTGTTTTCATCATCAGCTGCTTTTTCCTTTTTCCACAGCCTGGGCTGACAACGCAAATGCTTGTGCCAAACAGTATGCAGGAACCGGTGCCTTGAAGACCGACTTTACCAGGCAAGCCATGCTTTCTCAGTAACATTCGGTGCGGCATTCACAGGTCTGGCCACCTGGACAGCAGCACCCAGGCCCTATTAGACTGGTCAGGTCAGGTGAGGCCCAGGCTAGCTTGTGGGCCCTCTGCCTTCCTGGGTGATTCACATGCACAGCGAGGGTTGAGAACAGCAGCTCTTCAGTTCTCAGATGTACTGGGCCCGAGTCCCGGGTTAGGGCCAGCAGTTGGGGTGGGCCTGAGATTCTGCATCTGTAAGAAAGCACCCGGATTCTGACTGCTCCTGGGACCATGCTGATAGCGAGAGGTGGGACCACTGAATTTGTCACGGATATGGGTGGGCCTTTCTGCCGTTTCATACCACTTAGCCTGGTCTTTGTACCAGGAACTGAATGCTTTTCCTCTTTGTGCTACTTTGGCAGTGTTTTAGAGAGAGAGTACATATTTCTTGGACCCCACTACTAGTCATTTGTGAGGTATCTCCTTTATAGGTTCAGAGTTGATTTTTAAAATGGTTTTAACTCCCTTATCTCTGTAACACACACTTAGTGGTCACTTTTTCTCATACTGTGAAACTGTGGGAATTAAGTATGGAAATATATAACGCAAAATTGACCTTTCAACCAGAACTGGGAAGAGAACTCAGCTGGGACTGGTAAAGGACGGCTGGAACTCACTGATTCGGTATTACAAGAACAACTTTTCTGATGGATTCAGACAAGTGAGTTTGTGATGTTGGTTGTTGGCCATTGGCTGCACCTTTGTGCTATTCCCCAGGAATGTGCCCACATCTACCTGGGGAGCTAACGGTTTTCTTTCTGTTCTAGGACGCCATAGACTTGTTTCTGGGGAACTACTCTGTGGACGAATTAGAATCTCACAGTCCTCTCAGTGTTCCACGGGATTTGAAATTTCTGGCTGTAAGAAACCTTCATTTATTCAAGTTGTTAAAAGCATTATATCTGAGGGTATAGATGGTGCCAAATCCCCTTGATTATGTATTCTACACGGAATACAAATGCTCCAGTTTCCCCAAGGAGTGTAGTCTGGAGCATTTTTCTTTCACATTTCACTCCGTCTTGCACATCCTTTTAATGCAAGAACTACAGCCAGGGGGATGTAAAAGGCTTCTCATTTCAGGAGGACTCCACGCCCCTTACGTGCAGGGATTGTTGGAGGCAACCTCGTGTCTCAGAAGGCAAAATACAGGCCTATACCTCAGAGATACTGCAGGGTCAATTCCACACAGTGAGTCTCGGGAATTACTGGCTTCCCGGCGCATGTAACAGTGTGCACTCTGCCGTAGTCTGTGAAGTGAGCAATAGCATCATGTCTAAAACAAGCTCTGTACATATCTTAATCAAAAACACTTTATTGCTAAAAAATGCTAACCCTCATCTGAGCCTGTAGGAAAATGGCCCTGGTGGGCCTGCTTGACACAGAGTTGCCACAAGCCTTCACTTTGTAAAAAAATAAAGGCAAAGCGCAGTCAGGGTACAATAGAGCAAGGTGTGCCTCTGCGGTGCCCGTACTTCTCTCCTTTCCCAGACTGGCAGGAGCCACTCGGGGTCCCATTGCAGCGGGCAGAGCCCTGGAAGGAAGGGGCCTGGTGTCTTGTGCTCACATCTGGGCATGTGGGACTTGGTGTGGAGCAAAGTCACGCTTCTCACGTTTGATTTCTTAACCATCTGAAGGTCTAGGCAGCTGTGACTAACGCCTAAGTGGTGATGTGTTTTGAAAGTAGATATTTGTGCATCAAATGGCGGACGGTTTATTCTTTTTCAGGGAAAGCAAACTGATAGTGCAACCACTAGCGAGCATTCTTACTGATGTTTTCTGTCTCTGTTCTCTCTCCCAGTTGCCTATTATCATGGTTGTGGCCTTTTCAATGTGCATTATCTGCCTCCTCATGGCTGGTAAGTCTGCTCCTATTTCACCATCTTACACTCTTTGTTTAGAATGTTGAACTTACCTTGTACAGCATCTTGAGTTTTAGAGTCTACTCAACACTTGATGTTCCCCAAATAAATATACTCAGTAGCTTCATAAATGTTTTTTTCCAATTATCATCCTGCCTTCTAGAGATAAGCTAACTACTCTTAATATTTTTAAAAAATATATTTTATTGATTTTGTACAGAGAGAAAGAGAGAGAGATAGAGAGTTAGAAACATCGATGAGAGAGAGTCATCGATTAGCTGCCTCTTGCACACCTCCCACTGGGGATGTGCCCGCAACCAAGGTACATGCCCTTGACCGGAATTGAACCCGGGACCTTTCAGTCCCCAAGCCGACACTCTATCCACTGAGCCAAACTGATCTCGGCTACTCTTAATATTTTGATGTTTTAATCTTTATAAGTGTGATTATTTTTTCAAAAGTGAAATATACATTTTTTTAAAGATCTGTTTTTTCCACTGAGCAATATAAACATTTTCCATGTGCTTTATTTTTAAAGACTACAAAGTATTTCAATCACCTATTGGACAAATGTTAGTAGGTTAATATAGTACTTATTAAATTTTAATAGATTGAGAACAAAATTGCCTATGGACTGAGCTGGCATGGTCTTCACCAGTTTTTTTTCTCTCAATATTTTGTTACTAAGCCGAAACCGGTTTGGCTCAATGGATAGAGTGTTGGCTTGGGGACTGAAGGGACCCAGGTTCGAATCCGGTCAAGGGCATGTACCTTGGTTGCGGGCATATCCCCAGTAGGGGGTGTGCAGGAGGCAGCTGATCGATGACTCTCTCTCATCGATGTTTCTAGCTCTCTATCTTTCTCCCTTTCTCTCTGTACAAAATCAATAAAATATATTTAAAAAAAAATATTTTGTTACTAAGTTACTAGGCACCTAAGACTCGTGTGTCTCCATTAAGTACTCTTCTGCCCCTGGGAATTGGCGTCTGCCCGGGCTGAATTGTGCTCTTGTACTGAGGTCAGCCTCCGGGCTCCACCCCACCCGGAATTCCTTGGGCTAACGTTTCTCAGCCTGAACACTATTTAGATGCCGCCCTCAGGGTCCCCTGGTTCTCCCCCCAGGCACCCTCTCCTCTGGTTCCCAGAGCACTTGTAAGCCCCCCTTTTAACTTCCTAAGCACTAGGCTTTCTTTTCTGGGTGTGCCTCTTTGTTGTCCCCGACAGGCCTGGTGTGTGTGTCTCGGTGGTACTGCTCTGCACACCCCTTTCTCACTAGATCAGCTCCTTCCTGAGGACAGAGATGGTCCCTCCTTGGTTCCTGCCTGCATCCAGGGTACAGGAAGTCCGCAGCTCAGTTTGCTGAATGAAGGACTCCTGTTTCACCCCCACACACAGGTTCTGCCCGCTCCTGGGGGAGAGCCAGCCCCTCTCCTCCGCACCCTGGAGGTCAGCACTGCAGCAGCCACTGTGGGGAAGGAGGCGGCCTCTGGTGGTTTTACAGGACTGACATTTGTTTTTTGCTGAGTTTATGTGGCAGTTTTGTTTCTGTCAGGAGCCAGATAACCAATCATTTGCACTTTGCAGACTACCTGTGATCTGTTGTGCACTGTAGCTCACAGTATAACAACAGGCCCAGGGCTGGAGGGCACAACTGGTCCTGCATTAGGTGTAGGAATAGGAAGGGGACAGGGCCAGCCAGCCTGTGCTTCCTGGTCCCTCTGGCCTGCAGGCTGTTTACTCCCAAATCCTCTGACTGCTTTCTCACAGCACCACCTGATGCCACTTCCTGGGAGCCCCTCCAGTTTTGAGTTGTGCTATTTTGATTTTTTTTTTTTTTTTTTTTCTGACTGTGGACTTGCATTTCCCTGTGGAGCCCCCGGAGAGGCAGGAGAGCCAGGGCCGGGCATGGCTAAGTACCTGGTCGGCTGCTCTGGGCAACAGCGGGGCGGGCAGGCAGGCAGGGGGCTTGTGAGGAGCAGCCTTTCTCCTTTGCTCAGGAAGGGTTTTGACACTCAAGACTGTGAAGATGAGCAATCACAGATTCTGTTATGTTTTTAAGTAGAAAGAGATTGAATGCTGTGGAAGGTAACATGTCAGTCACTTGCTATAAAATAATGAGCCTTGTGATGTTTACATACAGTAGTGTCTGATTTCCTGTCCCAGAGACTAGGACCCCTATTAGCATGCTGTCCGACAGCCCTCAGGAGTGGGTCCCGCCTGCTTTTCTCTCCAGCAAGGAGGCCAGTGTGATCACACGGACAGGGTACACGAGGTCCCCTCCTCAGGGACTGCAGCAAAGTCCAGCTTGCCCGGCCTGCTCCTGACCTTCCTGAGCTGCAGGGCTGAGAAGTGCCCTCAGCAGAGTTGTTACATGTTATTCAAATAGGCTACCAAGCCCGCCCAGAGCAAGAACACAATACAGCCCAGGCAGACGCCGATTCCCGGCCTAAAGCTCAAGGGAGATGTTCTCTATTTTATAAACTTTTAAAGTCAAGATGTGCTGAATGTTGGCTCTGGTCTCAGTAAATGACTTTTACTTATCAACTTTTTTTTCTCTTTTTTTTTCTATCAACAGGTGACACGTGGACAGAAACACTGGCCTATGTTCTCTTCTGGGGAGTCGCAAGCGTTGGAACCTTTTTTATTATTCTGTACAACGGCAAAGATTTTGTCGACGCTCCCAGATTGGTCCAGAAAGAAAAGATAGACTGAGTTTGTGTCTGTGGAAAGCGGCTCGGCCTGGAAGACTCCATTCTGCAGAACTGGAGTCTTTACTGACCCGCTTTCCACAGGAGCCGAGGTCTTAGGAAGCCTTTAGCCCAGAGCACGTCTGCTGTGCGGGCGCTGACTTACATTGGGGATCTGCCTGATGATCCTACTGCCGGACGCTGGCTTATAATCTGAAGCTGTTCTGTAATTCCAACATAGCCTGGATTCAGCTCACGATGGAAGGAATCTGTCCATTGTCAGTTCAATCAACTATTGGAGGATAAGTAATATATATCAAAAACCTAGCTTCTTTGATTGTGTAAAACAGTCACTGTTCGTCTAGCTGTTTCATTATCGTCACTATGGAAGCACTACTGTTGGCAAGCATACTTTCCTACGCAACTTCGGACTCTTCTTAAAGTTTAATGTACGCTCACTCTGCTCGGCCCAGAAAGTGTCTTTTCCATTCATCAAGGAGCTTGACAACACAGCCCTGACTTTGCGGTGGGAAGAGAAGGGCCGTGTACCTGGGTGTCTCCGTGGGGCTGGCTGCCTTAGGAGCTCAGCTTTAAGTGTGATGGGAAGCTCAGGTACGCTGCACCTTTTCTAAAGGGTATAACTGAAATCAAAGATTGTAAAGTCTCTCTCTTATGCTAACGGTCCAAAGCCACCTCTGTTTTTAGGATTGCCCTTGGCTGCTCAGCTGCTTCCTCCCCGACCCTTCAAGGCAACATGGGCCTCTGAGAGGCTCTTGTCCGGGTCAGTGATGTCAGAGGCTCTATTGGATTGCTTCCCCTTTAAAGCTTCTGTTAGCCATCAGTAGAATAGTGTATATAAGATGTAGTGCTTCCCGTAGCACAGTTCTTCAAATCAAGGACCAACTTCAGCTCTAATTTATGTATAAAAACAAACCTGAAAACCATGCTTTAGAGACTGTGCAGAGGTCTAAGTCGGACTATATATTCAAACTATAATTATGAGGTTTAAATGGTAGGAAAGTATGTGAGGTAGTACAATTACACCTTCTTAAAGCCGCTCAGTAAATATGTGACCATGTGTGTTATGCTTGAAAACATGTGCAGTTCTTTCGATAGTAATCTTGTTCTCCTTAAACATCTCTAAAAGCGCCTTTTTCAACATCACCTTTTATAAACATTATTAAGTTACTGCTTTTAGAAACTAAAGAAAAGTAACAGCTGGCAAACCTTCTATAGCATAAAATCAGTCATTAAAATTCACAATAGGGAAAGTAATTAGAACTACCTATTCTTACCATGTAAATAAGCAGAATCTGTTCCAAAGATGAAATGTTGAAACTTAGTTCATGTCTACTGTATGCTATTACTCAAATGCCCCTGGGTGTTTCACGTTGAGAGCTCGCTTCAGCTACAGCACAGAGCGCTGACCCTGTGCGGCTGCTTTGCAGTGAGTGGACTAATGGTGGGCCGATCATAAGGCTCTACACCGCACAACCCTACAGTGATTTCACTTCCAAATTCACGTACTGTACATCCTGAGTGAAAATAAAATGTCATATTTTCTAACTACCGTTGGTGTCGTTCCTATGCTTGTCTTACGTGTTTAAAATCTTGCAAAGCAACGCACAGTTATTACAGAAAAGTTAGACAATGTAAGGGAACCAGAAATCCTACTTTCTAGTTATGATCACCTTCTAATTATTTGTGTTCATCCTTCTAAGTATTTCCTAGTTACAGATAAAACCAGGGAAATATTTAGGGAAGTGTAACGTCCGTACAAAAGAAGTCCTCTCCCCCCACCTCCAGATTGCAGTTTACTTTTCAAAATGATACAGGTTCCAACTGGGAAGTGGCATGTGCTTTTTAGAAAATGTTCTCTCAGCCACAGGGTCAGTGCGAGCCCGGGGGATGCTGATTGAACAGTTGGTGCCGAGGAGACCCTCCAGCGCACAGGGGAGTGAGGTGGGTCTGTGCAATGGCCTCTGGGATATACATCCCCGTGAACCACGTGCAACTGCCATGCACTGCGCCCTGCCCCTTCCTGCAAGCTCTGCGGGGCTGTGCCCTGCTTCCTTTCCTGTCTTCCTGCAGAGGGCTGTCAATAATTCTGTGCCTCCACGCCCGCCCATGTCCTTCCCTCCCCTGAGATACACCAATAGGGGCTTGCCTGGGGACCTGGGCCCTTCCAGGGGACTTACATGAGAGGTTTGGTGTATTATCTAAGCATCTGTTTGTGCTCTAAGTCTTTCATTCTAGCTCCAACATGAAAGCTTTGTCCCATTTAGGGTTTAGTGACAGGGTGGGAGTTGGGGGGTAATCCCTGAGTCACTTGATACAGATTTATCAGTCCTGATGGCACAGAACTTACTTTTTGTGTGGGGGTCAGAGAAGGAGAAGCAAAGGGTGTGTATGGCGGGGAAGGGGTTGGGGAGTGGCTTAAACAGGTGGGGTTTGGAGTTTCTTCCTCCCGCTTGCCTAAGAGCCCTGATGCCAGAAGAAATTGAGTTCTCTCGATACAAATAAGATACATAATTAAAACACTATGTTTCTTGCCATGTAGGCCTCTCTAACATGGCAGCTTGGTTCACCCAAGCCAGCAAGATGGAAGTCACAGCCTTTTAACACCTCATCTCAGAGATGTCCATCATTCTTACCACCTTCTCTGCACGGTGCTCGATCCAGCTCACCCAAGGGGAGAGGGATTCAGGGGGGCGTGAAAGCCAGGAGGTGGGGGTCTCTGGCCACCATCTTAGGTGTCTGCTACCACAATCAGTAAGGAGAGTCTTTAAAACCTCAGCCAGTAAGACCTATAGATATACTAGTACTTGTTTAGGGCTTTATGACGACAAATGCTAAAAACCAAATACTGCCCATCGATTCCTTGGGAGAACCAAGATGGTGGCGTAGTTAATAGCCAGTACTCGCTGCCTCCCACAACCACATCAAAATTACAACTAAAACACAACTGTCATTCAGACCCACCTGCAATCTGGCTGAATGGAAGCCCTACAACTAGAGAAGAAAGTATATCGAGACTTACAGGAATGGAGGAGGCACATAACAGGCTGGCCCAAAACCCATGTGCGGTGTGTTTTTTAACCGGGAGAGATAGCTCAGCTGCAGAGGCCTTCCCTGAGAAGCAAGGGATCCCAGGCCCACACCTGACCCCCAGCACAGGGTTCCAGAGCTGAGAAGAAAAGTCCCTGTAACTTGGGCCGGAAAAACCAGAGGGAATTGTGGCTCAGTGACACGGAGGCTACTGGAGTTCCCAGGTGTTCCTGTTCATGGACTTACACGGTCCTGCTTCCTCTGCGCTCCGGCACCGGGGACCCAGGGGCACACAGGGAGGAACTGGGTTGTCTGGGCAGGAATTGGGGGGTGGCTTTCTCCCAGGAAGAAGTGCTCACAGGGTCGTTTTTCTGGGCGGGGACCTCCTTGGCCGCAGGGCTGACTGGCAGCCATATCTGTTTCCATCAACATGGCCAATGCTGTTCCCTCCGCCCCATCCAATCTGCAGCTCCAGCCACGCTGTTTGCAGCAGCTTTTCCATATGAATGGCCTGTCCTTTCTCAGGCTTCCGATTTTTCTAAAATCTTGCAACAAGCAGCAGCTGCCTCAAACCTATCCATAAGGGGCCTAAGACCTGGCACTAGCACCAGCTGAGCCTCTCCTGGGCGCTTCCAAACCCAATGCAGCTGGAAGGCATCTTTAATCTCTGTGGTTCCTGCTGGGAGGCCCCGGCAGTGGCTGACTCTGCACCTCACGTGAGGCCCCAGAGGCAGAACACCCGGTGGACAGCTTCAGACCACACCAGATTACAACTCTCCACGTCCACAGTGACACACTCAATGAGCACCAAAGCCCCACCGAAGCAAGTCCTGCGCCATAGGGGTGTCCCCTGCACAGCCGCTCTCCCACTGTAGTCACAGCTGGTCCTCACAGCCAACTAGCCTGGAGCTCACCTCCTCCCAGAGACGCCCACAGCAATCAAGGCTCAACTACAAGACTGTGCACACAGCCCGCACAGGGCACACCCCGAGGGCCCAGCTCAGGTGACCGGGGAAGCTGAGCCCCTGGGCCCTCCAGGACACCGACTACACAAGGCCACCTACCAATTCCAGGAGCCATAAGCAGCGCTACCTAATACACAGAAGCAAACACAGGGAGGCAGGCAAAATGCAGCGACAAAGAAACAGGTCACAAATGAAAAATAAAATAAAAGCAAGCAAACTACTGGCAACATAGTTCAAAACATGAAATGTTGAAGGATATTCTTTAAGAAGAGGAAAGAAAGAGGAGGAGAAGGAGAAGGAAGAAGTTTTTAAAAACGTGAATAAAATGGCAATAAATACATATCTGTCAACAATTGAATCTAAAAATAAAAATAAAGGAATAAGAAATCTAACGAATAAATGGATGAGTAAAATCAAAGGCATGGAAAGATGGAACAGACGACGAATCTCAGGGAGAGGGTGAGGGGGTGGGGAGAGATTAACCAAAGGTCATACTAGTATATGCTTTACACAGACAATAGGGGGTGAAGGCCGGGGGTGGGAAGGGAACTGGGCGGTGAGCAATGGGAGGAAAAAGAGGGACACGGGTGATACTCTCAACAATAAAGTTTTTTTTTTTTTTTGTGTGTGTGTGTGTGTGTGTGTGTGTGTGTTTAAGAACTAAGACAGGGTTTTTATGTTTCTAGTATAAATAGCTTTGTGGCACTGGTGATCTGGCCAGATCACCATGGTTACTATGAAGTTGTTACCAGGAATGGAATGTCCCTTTTTCTCTCCAGCTCATTGCAGAGGGGGGAACAATTGTCAAAATGACCTCCTTTGTAAAGTACCTAGAAAACAGTCAACAAAGAGCTTTTTGAGAGAATCTTCCTACTGGCTCAAGAGAATTACTGAGAAATAGTCTGCTCTTCATGAAGTTTGCCCTGCGAGACCATGTATGACGGCCTTTGTCCTCCAGACCCGGAGGACAATCCCCCCCCCCCCCAAGAGGCTACTTCCCTGCTTTTGCCCATCGGAGGGCACCTTACAACAGCACACTGATGATCTCCCCGTCCCTTTCCCACAACTTCTCCGCATCTCTCAGTCCTCCCTGGGGACTGGGTCCATGTCAAGAAGAAAGGAAAGGCGTCTTTAACCCCCCCCCCCCCCATAGGAGGGGCCTTTCCCAGCCATGCTGTCCACCGACTGCAGCAAAGGTGCGAGGAATCCACCACTGGTATCACCGCTCACACACGAAGCCACACAAACCCCTACACAGAACACCGCCTTCCTACACTTCTCCCCCACGGGACCCGCTTCTGGGGCTCACCCAGTGTCTCCCCACCATCCCCAGACAGGACTCGGCGGCACCTGTCCAGGCCCTGATGACCCATCATTCCTCACAGGCTAAATCCCACCATTTCCTGCAGTGCGTCCCGGAGGACAGGTCCTGGTGGCGACCGCAATCTGCTTCCCCAGAGGTACACTCAGTAGGTCTTACGTGGAAGGGACCCTCCAAGTTTTTACTCCGGGAGAAGCTCGGTTTTTTGCAGAACAGAGTGCAGGCGTTCGCCAACCAGAAGGTGGGAGAGATCTATCTGGCCTTGGATTCAGAACCTAGAGACACCTATGTCACCAGAATCCTTGAGACCCCGGGTAAATGCCCCTGACTATGCCCCCTCTCAGCAGGAAGTAGCTACGGAAGATGGACCTTTGCCCCCTGACCTTGCCATGATTCTCAATTTTTTACTATTACCAAAAGCATGGATAATAGATCCTCCCTTCCCCCAACGGGCAGGCGGAGTATGACATAATCTGTGGCCTGGACATACCTGAGTACCTAACCAGGCACCTTATATGGACTATACATTGAACCACCAATCAGCACCTGCCAAATACCCTTGTCCCTATATGACCATGCAGTAAGCCACCAATCAGCGTGTGCCGATACACTAAGGCCCCATTCCTTCCCATTCCTCCCTTCAAAAGGCGTGTTCACCTCTGCACGCGTTGCTGTTCTCCCCTTGCAAGACGGGTCTCTTTCCAGTAATAAAGCCGGTAATCCTGGGTTTCGGCTCCCGACTGTTTTTTATCACGGGGCAATATTCCCTGACTGGGAATCAAATTGGCAACCTCCTGGTACATGGGACAATGCTCAACCAACTGAGCCACACCAGCTGAGCTCATTTAAAAAAAAACAAAAAAAACCAACTTTTTTTTTGTGTCGACCACAATCTACGCAGGCATCGGGGCCATTTCCCGTCTTTCTTTTTTCTTTTCTTTTTTCAAAACTATATTTTAAAAATTGATTTCAGAGAGGAAGAGATAGAAGAAACATCCAGGATGAGACAGAATCATGAATTGGCTGCTTCCTGTAAGGATCGAGCCTACAACCCGGGCATGTGCCCTGGACCAGAATCGAACCTGGGACCTTTCAGTTCACAGGCTGATTCTCTATCCAGGCTAAGGTTCCTTCTTTCGCAAACGGGTGCTGTTCCTCGGGTTTGGCGGGTGCCAGGATGTGGCCTGGCATGGGGGTTTTAAATGCTTCCAGCTGGTTCACATAAGCAGCCAGGTGGAGACCATTGAAATCCAGTTACTGGGAATAACGTGATGGTCTACTAGGACCGTGGTCGGCAAATGGCGGCTCGCGAGCCACATGCGGCTCTTTGGCCCCTTGAGGGTGGCTCTTCCACAAAATACCACGGCCTGGGCGAGTCTATGTTGAAGAAGTGGCGTTAGAAGAAGTTTAAGTTTAAAAAATGTGGCTCTTAGAAGAAACGTCAATCGTTGTCCTGTTGCTATTTGGCTCTGTGGACCAATGAGTTTGCCGACCACTGGCCTAGGACCTCGGTCTCCAGGCCGCTGGGGACCCATTTGGGCCTGACCCCGGGCAGGGTGGCCTGTGTTTAATGTCAGACAGAGGACCGGGGGCTGCGGGTGGGGCCGGGCTGTGTCTTCACCATACAGCGCGCTCACTCTTCACACCCGGCATCCTATCCGAGGTTTCTCAACACTGAAAACCCTCAGGAGAAATCAGAGGACTGTGTGTGCGGGATTAATAAACGCTGGTCCCTCCATGTGACAGGCAAGTGATCATTTTACCACCGGCCAACCCGTGAGGCCGCGGGTGCGGATAAGCGGGCAGCTCGGGACAGAGGACGTCGCCCCAGGAGAGGGAGTGGCATGGAACGAATGAAGAAACACACACACACACACAAGCATCTCCGCCTGATGTCCCACCTCAGTGCTTCCGTGTCTGCAAAGGTGTCTGCACACATCCACCCGGGACCTCCCCTGCACCCCGGGGTCCAGGGCCGCACACACAGGGCGCACACAGCCCTCTCCCGCGGGCCAGCCCTCTCCCGCAGCAAAGAAACACGCCAGGAGCCGGTCAGGGTGGTGGACGAAAGCTCTATCATACATACAGCGGTGTCGCTTACAGGACGCTCTGCGGGAGGTATATACACTTTAGGAAACCTATGTACAGATAAATAATTTAACGGGGCTGTCGGTAGTATTCCTGGCCTTCCCAGCGATGCCCGTCACGCCCGATGGAGCGGGAAGCCGCTGGGAAGGTCGGGTTTAAGGCACCCAAACGGGGCGAGGGGCCCTCCATGGCCACGCCGAGGCGGCCGGGGTGCCCCTGTGGCGGGGACCTCTGTGGAGAGGAGGCCTGGGCCCCCGGGAGAGGCTGCCCACGAGGACGGTGCTCTGCCCCCCATCGCACCCCCCGGGGGTCCCGGGTAACGGACTCACCCGTTGGCCGGAGCCGGCGGCGGCGCATCCTGGCTCGGCAGGGAGGCCCCGGGCCGCCCGGGGCCCGCAGGGTGTCCTCTCCGCCACTTAAAAAAAGGGCCCCTTGGCCAACGATGGCCCGCTACTATTTTGGAATCTCGTTAGAAAAAAAAAAAAAGGCTTACATTTTATTCCATAGACATGGTAGTCAAAAAGTCAGCTCACAGTGTGCGCTAATTCTAGGCCTTTCCAGAGCCCCGGAGGCCGCGGTGGCCTCGAGGCTGGCCCCGAGCACCTGCCCCTCCGGCAGCCTCGGGGCAGAGGGGCGCCCGGGCCCGGGGCCTCCTCCTCCACACCTTCTAGCGCTTTCTAGGCGCCGGGAGACGGCGCTCCGTGCTTCCGGAGTGAATGCTGGCGAAGCGGCCGCGGAGGCGCCACCGGGAACTAATAGCGTGAACGTGGGCGGCGCGGCCTCGGAGCCGGTCCTCAGGCCACGGGCGCCGGGTCTCCCCGCCGGAGGCGGCGCACGACGAAAGTGCCCAGGGCCACCAGCGGGATGCACATGGTGGAGGAGGCCACGAGCAGCCCGATGACCGCCAGCGCGTACGCCGGGTAGTCCTTGGTCACCAGCTGGCCCTGCAGGGAGAAGCGGAGCTCAGGGCGAGAACCTGCACAGGTGGAGCCCCCTGGAGCGCGAGAGGCCCGCCCACCGGCTCCGGCCCCGCCCTCCCCCGGGCCCCGCCCTCCCCCGGGCCCCGCCCTCCCCCGGGCCCCGCCCTCCCCCGGGCCCCGCCCTCCCCCGGGCCCCGCCCTCCCCCGGGCCCCGCCCTCCCCCGGGCCCCGCCCTCCCCCGGGCCCCGCCCTCCCCCGGGCCCCGCCCTCCCCCGGGCCCCGCCCTCCCCCGGGCCCCGCCCTCCCCCGGGCCCCGCCTCTAGGCCCCGCCCGTCCAATAGCTCCGCCCAGCGGGCCCCGCCTCCAGGCCCCGCCCTCCTGATAGCCTCGCCCTCCTCCGGGCCCCGCCCCTAGGCCCCGCCTATCCAATAGCCCCGTCCACCGAGCCCCGCCTCCAGGCCCCGCCCTCCAGATAGCCTCGCCCTCCAAGTCCCGCCCACCTGGCCCCAGGCCCCGCCCCAGGCCCCACCCTCCAGCTCGCCCCGCCCTCCCGCTCGCCCCGGTGTGGGTGTGGGGCATACAGGAGGTAGCCAATCCAAGATTCTCTCTCATCATTGATATTTCTCTCTCTCCCTCTCCCTTCCTCTCTGAAATCAATAAAAATATTTATTTAAAAGAAAAAGAATAACTACACGTGGTTATGCTTGAGACGCCGGGCAGGGCAGCTGGTCCAGCTGGTCGTGGGGGTTGGCCCTTTTAGCCCAACACAGTCCTGTAGAACTTTCTGGGCTGATGGACATGAGCCACGTCCGGATACCAGACACAAGTGGCTGCTGAGCACCTGAAGTGGGGCCGGGGAGGCCGTGTGCTGAGCTTTCAAGTACCTGGGCGATGCGGCCCTGTTGTGACCAACGACCTGCCCACGCCACGGCAGGAAATCCTTGGTTTCAGAAAACTAAGGCCTGCGCTCGCGGGGCAGCTGGGGCCCCAGCAGGGCAGGTACCTGGGAGGCGTCCCAGGCTTGGTACTGCAGGGTCCCCGTGAGGATGTAGTCGCTCAGGTAGAAGAGCAGGAGGCTGATGATGAGCAGCGGGCTCACGCCAGCCCACATGATCTTCCAGTACCAGCTCAGGGTGCGGCCAGTCATGGCCTGAAGGTCATTTTCAAATCTGCTCGGAAAATGGGAGAGGAAGTGTGGATTAGCCACGCTGTTGGAGCAAGGGGAGCCCAGCTTGCACATCCCTGTTCGCTTGGGGAGATTCTGCTCTGGCTCCATTGTGATTTGAACACAAGCACGGCACCTCCCTCCCTGATTCCTTCTGGGGGTTGGATGGGGAGAAGGGCTGAGGCTGACACGGAGCGGGGTGCAAAGCGATCACCCACAGAGAAGTGGGCGTCAGGAGACATCTTCCTGGTGCTGACCTTCAGATGGAGGCTGGCGTACACCAGAGGGCAGCTCCCAGCTGCGGTGGGAACAGAGAGCCTGGGACATGGGTCCAGCCAGCCTCAATGCCAGGGGACCCCCAGGGCAGCTCTGCCCTACCCCTCCTGGCTTGGGGCCTGCCAGCAACTCTACTCCCCATTACAAACACCCCAGAGGGGAATTTCTTTTGCCTCCTGAAACCACAGCAGGTTTTCTGGGTGCAGACAGAAAGCCAGATTCGGGATTAAAGGGTGGTGGCCTGGCGGTTGGAGTCGCACAGGTGTAGTTGCCCCAAGACCACCACCGTGTCCAATCGTGTCTGCAGACTGTCTTTCCTTTAAATGGACTCTTTTGCCTAAGTTCAGCAATAGCATAACAGCATCCATTCTTTTGTGGGTTTGATAGGCTAATCGTGTATATTTAATATGCACACAAGTGAGTACGAAAAGGATCTCTGGGAAATGCTGACCCAGCCATCTCCTCGTTTCACAGGGGAAGGCACCTGTGGCTTGTTATAGGGCTCCAGGTGTGACAGACCTAGACCAAGGGCTTTAAACCCGCTCCCCAGGATGGGAGAGGCAGCCTTGCAGGAGGGGCGGAGTGAAATGTCACCAGGTGCAACCACAGCCACTGCCTCTCTTCCACCCCTGGCCAGTCCCATGAGCTTCTACCTGCCCCTGTGTGGCCGCTGACCTAGCCAGACCTTAGGCCACGAAGACTCATGTGCATAATGTGAACACTGGGATTTTCAAGCCCACATATGGCAGAAAGTGTTGGGTTCTCTTGTCCCGTTACCTCCCCTGCCCTCCACTTTCCTGGTTAGGGAAACGTGGAAAGAGCTGCAGAAAGGCCGCATGGCACTACTGCAAAGTGGCCACTAGATGGCGAGCTCCCCCCCGCCCCTGCAAGCAGAAAGACTGCCCTCTGCTGGTCATCCCCAGATCGGGCTGCTTGCAAAATCCCCAGGGTACCTTTCGTTTCTCCCTCCTTCCTGCCATTGACCAACACCCCTCTCCAGCCCCTCCACTGGGCCCTCCAGTCTTTGGCCCCTTGAGTGTGGCTCTTCCACAAAATACCACGGCCTGGGCGAGTCTATGTTGAAGAAGTGGCGTTAGAAGAAGTTTACGTTTAAAAAATGTGGCTCTCCAAAGAAATGTCAGTCGTTGTGTTGGCTCTGTTGACGAACGAGTTTGCCAACCACTGCTGGGCATTTCCTAGGTGACCAATTTGTCCCGGTTTACCCAGGACTTCCCTGGGTTTAGCACTGAAAAAACCCCAACGTCCCAGGAAGCCCTTCTTTCCTGGGAAAACGGGGTGACTCTAACACTAAAGCCCTCACAATGTTTCCAGCTGTGGGGAAGGAGTACGGGCCGATAAAAAGGCATTCCAATTTGGAAATAGTGCACATTACAACCCCTTCTTTGAGATTCACAATTGTCTTCAAGGGTCTGAGAAATCCCAAGGCAAATTTAATTTGTGTCCTGGACTTATTTGATGGCGAAAATCCCTCGGAAAGGCTTCCAGGAGCACAGTGGGACACTCGGCACAGGGGCCTGGCTCCTGGACTGTCCCAGCTGGTCCCCTGAACCCACCTCCAGATCCGTTGGGAAGATGATAAAAGACTGGGGAGGGGATAACGTGGTACATGCCTTCATTGGAGCAGCAGCAGGTCCCAAAACATAATGGGCCTGGACCCCCAAAATATGTAACTGATTCAACGGCTTGTGGGCCTGAGGCCCTGCATTCTTCTTGTTTAAAAAATACATTTGTATTGCTTTCAGAGAGGAAGGGAGAGAGATAGAAACATCAATGATGAGAGTCATTGATTGGCTGCACACCCCCGACCAGAGACCTAACCCACAACCCAGGCAGGTGCCCTCGACCAGAATCAAACCCAGGACCCTTTAGTCCACAGGCCGACGCTCTACCCACTGAGCCAAACCAGCTGGGGCGAGACCCTGCATTCTCACAAGCTCCCTGAGGCTGCCGTTCTGAGGCCAGACTCACCTGCAGCTAGAGCCCCACCTGGACCCACCTAATCAGCATCCTGGGGATGAAGGCGGGGTTAGGGGTGGGGAGTCCCCAGGGGCTCCGGTGCACGCCCAGGTCTGAAAACTGCTTTAGCCCCGTGATTCTAGAACCTTAAATCTGAATCTGCCAGTCTTCAAGGTCAGACTTATCAACTGGACTTTGGTCAGTGCGCTTAAAAAATGCTAGTTTCAGCCTTAGCTGGTTTGGCTCAGTGGATAGAGCGTGGGTCTTGGGACTGAAAGTCCAGTCAAGGGCGCATGCCTGGGTTGCGGGTCAATCTCCAGTAGGGGGCGTGCAGGAGGCAGGCGATCAATGATTCTCATTATTGATGTTTCCATCTCTTCCTCTCCCTTTCTCTCTGAAATCAATAAAAATACATATTAAAAAACAAAAACAAAAAAAACTGCTGGTGTCGGCCAAGGGCCAGAACAGCCGGGGCCCGGAGGCAGGACTGCCTGTCCCCAGAGCTGCTGGGGTTCAGCAGGGCCGAGGGGCCAATGTCCTTTACCAGAAAGCAGAAGCACAGGAATGGGGAAGGTGAAGGCTGAAGGCCGGCAGGGGGGACGTGAGGCAGAGGGTGAGCTGCGATCTGGGGGGAGACGAGAGCCCTGGCAGGTGCCAAGCTTAAGGGCAGCGCGCAGTGCCGCTGGGCGGGTGGTTCCTGCGGGTGAGTGAGCCCAGCGGGCGGGGGCTCTCACCTCCTCAGCCCGTACACGTAGCACACGGCCACTGTCTCCACCAGGACAATGAGCAGCAGGGACAGCGTGGCCGCGTAGTCGTTGAAGACGTCGAACCAGTAGTTGCCGGCCTCCAGGGTGAACACCAGGCCCACGGCGCAGTTGACGAGGCACACCAGACCTGCGCCAGGACACGTCAAGTTCACTGACTTGGGCCTCCGTTCAACAAGGACAAAAGCAGCGTCTCTCCTGGCCCGGGAGCTCTGGCTGCCGGGTTGGGGAGCTGGGCCTCTTCCCAAAGTCGGGGTGGCCGCTTCCCGTCCCCCTGGGGTGGAGAGCCAGACGCATGGGGTGACTGGCCCGTGCTGACTGCCCAGGGTGGGGGGGGGGGTGGGAGCCGGTGAAGGCAGGACTCCTGGGAGGTTGCCACCTCAGCCGGTGGCCACCACAACAGGCGCAGGACCCCGCGGAGCCCATCCACCTGCTGGTCCCATCCCCCCTCCGCCCTCCCTGCCCGCCGCTCACCGGCGATGGCCTCCTTGGGCAGGTGGCGGGTGATGGCCTTGCTGTCGGTGAGGGGCGTGAGGATGGCGGCCGTGTTGCCCAGCATGCTCCCGATGCCCAGCATGAGCAGCATGAAGAAGTACAGCACGGACCACAGCTGGGAAACCTCCATGTTCTTGATGGCCTCCGTGTAGACGATGAACGCCAGGCCGGTGCCCTGGACGGCCTGCCCCCGGGGACAAGGCCCCGTCACACACCGAGGGCCGCCCGGCAGCTCGGGCACACCCGGCGCTGAGCCGCGGGGGCCTCGGAGCTGGCTCTCCCCTCTGCAGACCAGCCCCCCTCCTCGGAGCCCCAAACGGCAAATGTTTACAACGGTTCCTCCAGGCTGCTGCCCACATGGATGCCGGTGAGATAACTTTGTCCTTTCTGCCTTTTTTTTTTTTTTTTAAATATATTTTATTGATTTTTTACAGAGAGGAAAGGAGAGGGATAGAGAGTTAGAAACATCGATGAGAGAGAATCATCGATCAGCTGCCTCTTGCACCCCCCCCACTGGGGATGTGTCCACAACCAAGGTACATGCCCTTGACCGGAATCGAACCCGGGACCCCTCAGTCCGCAGGCCGATACTCTATCCACTGAGCCAAACCGGTTTCGGCCTTTCTGCCTTTTTAACATGGAAAAGGAAAAGGGGGCAGGGAGGACCCAAAGGGACCAGGGCCCCCGGGCGGCCGCCAGGAACGAGGGGGCTCCATTCTCCCTCCTCCGGGAAGAGGCGGAGGGAGGAGACCTCCTGCCTGTGGGCGCCTTACCGTGTCCAGCTCGGCCTTCAGGCTGCAGTTTCTGATCAGCGGGAACACCTTGCTGTACTGGTCGGGGTAGGTCGATGCCAGGTAGCCCTTCACCTGCTCCAGGTTGCTGGCCGTCAGGAAGCCATCTTCCAGGTCGAAAGAATTGGTCAGCAGCAGAATCACCCTGCGGGCAGAGCACGGGACTGGCCTCTGGACCGGGAAGGCTGCGGTCCCCGCCTGCAGGCGGCTCGGGGCCCACACTGTCCACCCTCTCCCCCTGCCTCCTCTTCTCTGGTTAGGTGAGGTCTGTGGATTGCCAAGCTTTTATTAATTTAAAAATATACACTTGCATCGATTTCAGAGAGGAAGGGAGAGGGAGAGAGAGAGAAATGTCAACGGTGAGAGAAAAAAAATCATTGATCGGCTGCCCCCTGCAACGCCCCACAAGGGGGATGGAGCCCACAATTTGGGAATCGAACCCTGACCTCCGGAGCGTTCAGAGGTGGACGCTCAACCACTGAGCCACGCCGGCCGGGCAATTGCTGACCTTTATTTATTTATTTATTTATTTATTAAATATATTTTATTGATTTTTTACAGAGAGGAGGAGAGAGGGATAGAGAGCTAGAAACGTCGATGAGAGAGAAACATCGACCAGCTGCCTCTTGCACACCCCCTACTGGGGATGTGCCCGCAACCAACGTACATGTCCCTGGCCAGAATCGAACCCGGGACCTTTCAGTCCGCAGACCAACGCTCTATCCACTGAGCCACACCGGTTTCGGCCAATTGCTGACCTTTTAAAGGGCAAGGTGCTTAGCGCGACTCTGCGGAAGCCTCGCACAGGAAGTGGTGACCAGAGGAACCAGCTGCACCTGCCTCTGGCAGGGCGTGTTTCCAGGACGTGGCTCAGCCAGCGCCACTGGCCTCCGCCGACAATAATGAAAGACATGCCCACGCGCCTCCCAGGCGCTCTCTGCACCCGGGCGCCTGGCACTGCCCCTCGCGCCGGCCCCCGGCGGCCGGCTTACTTGCTCAAGCAGCTCTCGTAGTTGAAGGTGGCCTTGAAGCCGTAGATGGAGAAGGTGACGACGCTGGCGAAGATGGAGGTGGAGCTGTTGATGAGGGACACGATGATGGCGTGCTTCTGGCAGTTGTTGGAGGGCTCGTTGTAGCTGGCGAAGGCGATCAGGCTGCCGAACCCCAGGCCGAGCGAGAAGAAGATCTGGGTGGCTGCGTTGATCCAGGCCTTGGGGTTGGCCAGCTGCTCCAGCTGGAAGCCAGTGGGAACAGGCTGTGAGTTGGGGGGTGGGGGGGGGGGAGGAGGAGAGGGGTAGGGAAAGGGGATCCCAGCTTCTAGGGCAGGGGAGGGAGGGAGGCCCTGGAGGACCCTGCCTGGCACCTCCAGGCCTGGGGCTGGAGACCGGCCTTCCTGGCTCAGACCGGTGCCCCCCTCACTGCTTAGCAGATGAACATCCCTCCTGCCGTGTCCCCACGGCCGTTTCCCCAGGGGAGTGTGCAGTGGGAAGTGTGGGGTGAGTCACTTAAAAAGGAACCGGGCCGCCGATGCATGAGCCGGACATGCACGGGCCTGGGCCTCCCGAGATGGAGGCGGTGGGGCCGGCGGTGAGGCTGAGGTCTGGGTTGAACCCTGGTAATGTGGCGGGGTGCAGGGGTTCTTGGGGGAGCTGCTACCACAGCCATTTGTTTCCAGGGGCCCGATTTGCTAAACAAAGAATCTGTCCGGCCCCCGAGGCAACCGGGACGAAGACTGGCCGAGGGGAGCCTGGGGAGGGACCCCGAAACCACCGCCGAGAGTGGATTTGCCCCGAAGGGAAACCAAGATGATGCTCACAGCACAGAACTCAGCCCACAGGCTGGAAGGCGAGGCTGGGGTGAGACAGGGCCAGGAGGCCGGGCGTGGGGCAGCCGTCACCGGGGGGCGGTGAGGAGTGGACAGAAGACGGGATGCCCCAGAAATCACAGGGCTTGGGGACTGCCTGGCAGGTTATCCATCCCCACCCAGCCTCCTGGGTTCACCCACCCTCCGTCTTGCCCTCTCCGCCCTCTGGAGGGGGCAGGAAGGTGGGGCCCCGCAGGCCCCGCCCCTCCGGCCCGTACCTTGGGGGTGAACATGTACAGCAGGCCGTTGGTGGCCCCGTGCAGCGTGAGGCCCCTGATCAGGTAGATGATGAGCACACAGTAGGGCAGCGACGCGGTGAAGTACACCACCTGCGGGCACAGGGGGCAGAGTCAGCCTGGGGCGATGTGGCCAGAGGGCCCTGTTTGCCTACAGCAGGCCCGCCGTCCCGGCTGCGGGCCGCGGGGAAGGCCCGGGGTCTCGGTCAGGTCCTGCGTCGGGGCTGGGAGATGGGCGGTGGGACGTGGCCGCCAGGCTCGTAAGCGCCAGGAAATTCCTGGTCGCACAAGAGGCCCAGCCCTCCACGTCCCTTCAACCCGACCTCGCTCCGGGCAGGGCTGGGGCCGCCCTCAAACACGTCCATCACAGGAACGGGCGTGCGTTTCAAACCCAGCGCTCAGGCTGCCCTCGCCGATCACCACAACCTTCAGGTGTGTGTGTGTGTGAGTGTGTGTGTGTGGGGGCGGGGGGATGGAGGGCTGAGACGGCAAAAGCTCTTAGGCGCTGCCCGTGGGCAGCGAGGCTGAGAGCAGGGGGGGGTGGGGTGGGGGGAGGTGTCTCCGGGAAATCTGGAACCATCTAAGGTTTCCAAGGAGGAAAACTCCCTGTCTGGTTGCTTGGTGCTCCTGGGCAGGGTGGCTGTGGGGCTGGCTGCCCGGAAAAGCCTGGCCTCTTAGGGGAGGTAAAGGCCTGGTTCTTGGTGCCGGTGCACCGCCCGCCTCCCCAGCCGGCTCTGGCCCTCGCCGGCAGGAGACAGCCTGGGCCCTGACACCCCGCCCCGCACCCTTACCCCCCCACCCCCCCGCCTTGCCCCCACCTTGCCCGTGGACTCGGTGCCCCGCAGGATGCACAGGTAGACCACGAGCCAGGCCAGCAGGAGGCACAGGGCGGGCTCCCACTGCAGCCCGCCGCTGTCCTGGATGGACGGCGAGATGTTGAGGGTCTTCCGGTACCAGAAGTACTTGGTGGAGGAGGCCTGCTCACACTCGGCGTCGTAGCCCGTGCGGTTGGCGTTCAGTGGGCAGACGGACCACGGCAGGGGGTCCTGGGTCAACACAGCATCAGGCAGAGGTGAGGGCCGAGGCGGAGGCCGGGGGAGGGCTCTCGGAGGAGAGGGAGCTGGTCCCTAAGGGCAGGCGGTGGGAGCCCCGAAGGCGGCCAGGGAGTCAGAGATGGGTCCAGGGCGCACACTGATGAGGCGGGGAGAAGGGGAGGCAGCAGGGCGGGGGTGCACGAGGGGCTCCACACGCCTTACGGCCCTAACGGTGTTTTTGGAGGATCGCCTGGCTCTACTGTGGGGCAGAGAGACTGAGGACACAGACAACACAACTCTGCCCGGCAGCCCGGCCGGCGTGGCTCAGTGGCTGAGCATCAACCTAAGAACCAGGAGCTCACCCATGGACTCCTGTCGGGGCACAGGCCCGGGTTTCAAGCTCGACCCCCAGTAGGGGGCGTGCAGCGGGCAGCTGATCCCTGATTCTCTGATGTTTCTACCTCTCTCTCTCTCACTCTCCCTTCCTCTCTGAAACCAATAAAAATATATTTAAAAAAAAAAAAAGCCAAAACCGGTCTGGCTCAGTGGATAGAGCGTCGGCCTGTGGACTGAAAGGTCCCAGGTTTGATTCCGGTCAAGGGCATGTACCTTGGTTGCGGGAACATCCCCAGTAGGAGGTGTGCAAGAGGCAGCTGATGGAGGATTCTCTCTCACCGATGTTTCTAACTCTCAATCCCTCTCTCTTCCTCTCTGTAAAAAAACCAATAAAATATATATATTAAAAAAAATATATATATATTAAAAAAAAAAAAAAAGGAACTCTGACCTGCAACCTCCCGCCTGTCCCCTGACCCGGTGGTCGCCTGCCCTTACCCCTGCCCCCCTCCTACCCTATCTCTGGTCCCGCCCCACCCTGGCCCCGCCCACGCTCTGGCCCCGCCCCTCGCCCAGGCCCCGCCCCTCACCTGGAAGGAGTGGAAGAGGTACCAGAAGGCCCAGGCGTTGATGACATTGTAGTACATGGACAGGAAGAAGGACACCACCACGCTGGCGACGCCTGTCAGAAGCAGAGGGCGCTGAGGGCCCGTCCCCACCTGCCTGACCCACAGCCCTGGTCCCCCATTGCTCCCCCCTACCCCCATCGTGCGCCCAGGACACCCCACCCTGCAGTGACCGTCCTGGGCCGGCAGAACCTCCACAGCAGGTGCGGGGGGGGGGGGGGGGGGTGGCTCCCGGTGGCCAGGGCCCTGCGAGCACTGCTGAGGGTTAGCCTCTTCCCTCTCTCTCTCCGGCTCCTGGGAAAGGAGGTGCGACATTTCTTGGAGCCCCGAGAGCCAGCTGCTGTGCTAAGAACTGTGCGTCCCATGGGCGTCCCCATCCCCTCCCAGAAGGAAAACCCAGGCACAGAGCGCGCCTGGGACCCGGGCGGGGAAGAGGCAGACATGGTGATCCCCCCTGCCCCCTCTCACCTGGGCCAATCCTCGCCCTGGGGTGGCTGGGAGCAGGGCGTGAGGAGGTGTGTCAGGTGCACGGGACAGGAGGGAGGCTGTCCCGCACGCACGGTCAGGTCTGCAGGGTCCCGGGTGGGGGTGGGAGAGGGAGAGGAGAGCCGAGCAGAGGGATGGCTGACAACCAGCGGGGTCTGCAGGCGCCCACCCCGTGTGTGTCTCTGCCCAAGCCCTGGCTCTGGGACATCTCATTAGGAGCTTGAAACTGGCCCGGGTGTTGTACTCACACCACCGTGTCAGCAAACGCTACGCCTTCCCGCGCCCCACCTGGAGAGCTGTGGTTAAACATCCACCAGCCCCCCGTTTGGCACAACCGTCCGGCCTCTTCCCTGGGTCACGGCGGGCGATGCCCCGGAGAAGCCCTCTGGGACTGCTCGCTGGGCGGACTGTAAACCACACGCCTCGGTGCTAAACATTAACAGCCCCGCACGCTGGGGAGGCAGTTCGGGTTTGAAGATGATTTGTGAGGGCACTGGGCACATTTCTCTCGCGCCCGAGCAAGTCACGTACGCGTGTACCCCCTCCTCGCCCTGGGGTGTCAGTCTGGCATCCTGTCTGGGGCGGGATCGTTGGCAGGACAGAGCAGGGGCATCGCTGGGCAAAGTTCCTCCTGCTGGCAGAGGCAGCCCAGGAGCCGGAGGGTGTGAAGGCAGGTTAACCATCTCCCCAGGGTGCCAGGCCCCGGGCTCAGGTGGCTCAGGGCGGGCGGGCAGGCAGTCGGGCGGCGTGTGCCCAGCTTCCGTCCACCAGGGAGATATCGATGACAGCCCGACAGCCCCTCAGTGGTGGGATGAAACGAGCTGATGTAGGAGCCTGTGTTCTCCGGGCCAGCACCTGGCACCCAGCAGGGCTCATGGAGAGGAGGTGCCACTCACAGCCAGCAGGGGGCAGTGCCCAGAGGACACGGAGGCACAGCTCCAGCGTGCAGCTGTTTCCTCTCTACAGACCGGCACCCTGCGGTCCAGTGTGGTCTCCGTTTCCCACCTGTGCCTCCTCCCGTCCTCACTCCTGTTCTAGGGCGGTCAGTCCCTCCTGGGCCTTCTGCCACCCCACTCCAGGGTCTCTCTTGGGCCTTGTGCTTACCCTTTGCTCCCCCCCCCCCCCCCCCCCCGGGCTGTCCAGGATCCAGGGAGAGGGCCTCCCGGTGGGGGAGGGCTGGAGAGCACCACCTACCAACTCCGCTCAGGTAGGGGCTGATGGTCCTCCAGGCGCCGATGCTTCCCTGGCGCATGCGCTGTCCGACCGCCAGTTCCAGGTACAGGAGCGGCATGCCCTCCAGGAGGAGCATGATGAGGTAGGGAACCAGGAAGCTCCCTGCGGGCGGCGGAGCCACGGCCAGGTCACCAGTGGCTGTACCCGCATCCACCGACCTCCCTGCCAATCCCCTCCTCCCTCCTGCCTCCCCCTCCCTCCTTTCCTTCCTCCCTCCCTCCCTCCCTCCCTCCCTTCTTCCCTCCCTCCCTCCTTTCCTTTCCTTCCTCCCTCCCTCCCTCCCTCCCTCCCTCCCTCCCTCCCTTCTTCCCTCCCTCCCTCCCTCCCTCCCTCCCTTCTTCCCTCCCTCTTTTCCTTTCCTTCCTTCCTCCCTGCCTCCCCCTCCCTCCTTTCCTCCCTCCCTCCCTCCCTCCCTCCCTCCCTTCCTCCCTTCTTCCCTCCCTGCCTCCCCCTCCCTCTTTTCCTTTCCTTCCTTCCTCCCTCCCTTCTTCCCTCCCTGCCTCCCCCTCCCTCTTTTCCTTTCCTTCCTTCCTCCCTGCCTCCCCCTCCCTCCTTTCCTTCCTTCCTCCCTCCCTCCCTCCCTCCTTCCCTTCCTCCTTTCCTTCCTTCCTCCCTCCCTCCCTCCCTCCCTCCCTCCTTTCCTTCCTTCCTCCATCCCTCCCTCCCTCCCTCCCTCCTTTCCTTCCTTCCTCCATCCCTCCCTCCCTCCCTCCCTCCCTCTATGCCTCCCCCCTCCCTCCTTTCCTTTCCTTTCCTTTCCTTTCCTTTCCTTTCCTTTCCTTTCCTTTCCTTTCCTTTCCTTTCCTTTCTTTTCCTTTCCTTCTTTTCCTCCCTCCCTCCCTCCCAACCTCCCTCCCTCCCTCCCTCCCTCTCTCCCTCCCTCCCTCCCTCCTTCCCTCCCTTCCATCTCTCCATTTGCTCATCCTGCACCTTCAGCCTTCACATGCTTCCAACTGTCATTCCTCTCATCCATCCATCCATCCATCCATCTCTTTAGCCATTTGTCCTTGGGTGATGACACCCAGCCATGCCAGTAAAAATCTTCGTGGCCTATTTTACCGAGAATGTTGAAACTCGGTGTCTGCGAGGCAGTTCCCGGCAAGGAGGGTGCAACACAAACATTGGTTTTCCTACCCACCTCTTCTACTCCATATGCTTTATCTAAAGACTCTTTAACAATCACAACAAAGGCTCCAACTCATGTGTTTGCTAGTGTTTTTTCTCTCTCGCCTTGGTAGTGACAGCTCAGGGTAGCGCTGTGGCGCCCGGGAAATCTGAAATCGTCATCATAAAAAGAGACTTGCCAGAATGTATTTGACTGCTGAATCCTGAACATCCAGACTCTTAGGGAGAATGCCTCTTTTTAAAAAAATATATATTTTATTTATTTTTTTACAGAGAGGAAGGGAGAGGGATAGAGAGCTAGAAACATCGATGAGAGAGAGACATCGATCAGCTGCCTTCTGCATACCCCCCACTGGGGATGTGCCCGCTACCAATGCACATGCCCCTGACTGGAACCGAACCTGGGATCCTTCAGTCCACAGACCGACGCTCTATCCACTGAGCCAAACCGGTTTCAGCTGGAGAGCACCTCTTAAGGGGCCTGTAAACTACACATGAGGGACAGTCTTATACATATTGTGGATGGATCACGAGAATTCTCGTGTTTTCTGCTCTAAGGCTTGTGGCCGATCACTTACCTGGCCACTTGGGTAAAGTTAGCAATAGAACTGCTGGTCAGCAATGTGTTAAAGAATGGCCATTACTCACCACATCTATGGTTTTATGGCTATAAATACAGTCGCTTTCAAAGAACAAAATCCCTATTCTGTCCTCTCTTGTGGTGACTGATGGTTAGTCAGGGCCGGCCACACAGAGTTGCTAAATATTTTGCACATCATTCCACCCCGCTGCCCACCTTCAGAAAGTGCTTTCGGCATTTTGCAGCCCTGACGTGCCCACCGGGAAGGGTGTGTGGAACAGCTGTTTCACTTTCTCCAGGCCAGCCCTGGAGCTGGGTGTGGGGAGGATGGGAGGGTAGTGGCCCTGCTCCCGGCCCTGAAGGGATCACCTGGACAGAGGAAGGTCAGCTGCCTCTTAATGGCCCAGCGCCCAAGCTAGTCCTCCAGCCTCACATTTCAGAGATAAGGCAGGGGCTGTGGTGCCTGTGTGGGGAGGCCAGGGGGTCCCCAACAGGCAGAGCCTAGGCTACCACCTCCTTTTGGAGCACCTCTGTGTGTATGTTTTATACCTTCAGCCGAAAATTTCACTAAAGAAATGTTTTTATTGATTCCAGAGAGAGAGGAAGGGAGAAACATCTATCCATAGACAGAAACATCCATCAGCTGCCTCCCGCACACCTCACACTGGAGATTGAGCCTGCAACGGGAGCACGTGCCCTGACCAGGAATCGAACTGGTGACCTCTTGGCTCACGGGTCAATGCTCAACGCCTGAGGCATACCAGCTGGGCCTAAAATTTCATTTTAATGAAACTGACTAAATAAATTTTACACCCTCTGATTCCTAAGGAGCCACCTGTAGACAAGTACCCTTGGTGATAGTGGGAGCCAGTGAACAGAGCTACGGACACCCCCTCCCCCCCACTGCCCCACACATGGACAGCGGCAGGCAGCCTGTGTGTGGGGGTCATCACATCTGACACCATCCCCCTTCCTGGCAGATGCCTTACCCACTGCTTCTCCTGTGGGCCCCGCCCCTCCTTCTCTGCACCCCTTCGGCCATGGCCATTCCTCCCCCAGGTCCGTGGCTGTGAACCTGAGAAAAAGGTCCAGTGGGAAAGAGGGCAGACTCTGAATAATAAAACCCTGACGCTACAGTGCAGGGCTTAAGGTCTGGTTCCAGAGGAACCGGCTCTGAAAGCTCAAGGTAAACAATGAGATTCACACCTGCTTACATAAGCAGCTCACACAGAACGCCTCCATGGTGGGTGTATGATGCCCTATAATCCCCCAGGTCTGCCAGGCCCTCTCCCGACACACCCCCATCACCCCGTTAGTAGCTGCAACATTCCGCTAGGGAAACGGGTCCAGAATTCATTTCATTGTCCTTGGACACGTGGCCTGTGGCCAGTTTTCTGCCATCCCAATCCTGGCTGCGGCACTGAGCCTGGCGCTGTGTGTGGTTATTTCCTCGGGTATAAATCCCAGAAGTAGATGGCAGTGAACATGATCAGGCAGAGGCCCCGTGGCTCTCTCACCGCAGAGAGAAGGGGGAGTGCAGGGCACGTACGGTTCTGGGGCCTAGAACAAACCCTGCCCTCTCACTTCCGGGACCTGAAGATGCTGCAGGCTGCTCTCCCTCCTGCCCTGCAGAAAGGCGTCTCAGCACCGTCCCAGGCTCCTCTCGTCAGCAGGAGTCCATCACGGTCCCACCCAGGGCATCCAGACAAAGAGGTGGTGCTGACACATCTGTTTGGAGCAACAGCCAGACTCTCAGTGGTTACAAGAAAAGCTCAAGGTGTTAAATGGTCACAGCAAGGTGCAGGAAAGCTTGTCCCTGTGTTTTATTTTTATTTATTTTTTAAATATATTTTATTGATTTTATACAGAGAGGAAGAGAGAGAGATAGAGAGTTAGAAACATTGATGAGAGAGAATCATCGATCAGCTGCCTCTTGCACACCCTCTACTGGGGATATGCCCGCAACCAAGGTACATGCCCTTGACTGGAATCGAACCCGGGACCTTTCAGTCCCCAAGCCGACGCTCTATCCATTGAGCCAAACCAGTCCCGGCAGGAAAGCTTGTCCCTGTGACAGGGCCAGCCCCATGGCCCCCTGCCCGTGGAGGCGGGCAGTCCCCCTGCCCAGGTGGGAGCACGGGGCTCCATCATCCTGCCCCACAAATATCCAAACACACAACTAGAATATGCAAAGAAAACAAACTTCAGTATCTCAGACTGTATACTAAAAACCCACCCTTCAAAATGCATCATATATATAAAAGCCTAATATGCAAAGTGTCCCCTCGGAAGTTCAACGGGAAGACTGAGAGTTCGAGTTCAATTGCTCACGATGACATGAGCTGACCACCAGGGGGCGGCGTGGAACGAAGGATGGCCCCAACTGGCAGCTGGAAGGCCTGGATGGGCCCTGATCTCTGACCGCCCTAGGGATCCTACCTGTGCATGAACTTCGTACACTGGGCCTCGAGTAGGCCTGAATGTATAACTCAGGACTTTTTATAAAATTTCTAGAAGAAAACACGGGAGACAATCTTTCTGACCTTAGGTTAGTCCACATCAAAACGTGTCGTAGAGACGACACCAAAAGCATTACCTGTGAAAGAAAATATCGACAAACGGGACGTCCTTTTAATTCTGCTCCGTGAAAGACAGCGATAGGAGACTAAAAAGACAAGCCACAGACCGGGAGAAAATATTTGCAAAACACATATCTGATAAAGACGTTGTAATCTAGCACATAGAAGGGACTCTCAAAACTCAATAATGAGAGAAAAAAGGAACCCTGTACAAAAAAAAAAAAAAAAAAATTGAGCAGACATTTTACCAAAGAAAATATTTCAATGGCAAATTAGCACGTGAAAAGATCAACATCAGCGTTCACTGATTCACAATGCAAATTCAAACCCCAGTGAGATGCCCCTGCATGCCCGTTAGAATGGCTCAATTCGCAGACGCTGGGAGCCCCTGGGAGCCCCTGGGAGCCCCTGGCCCGTGCTGGATGGGAGGCTGTCGGATTCACCAGCCGCTTAATAAAGCAATGCCAAGTGCCTGGCAGGGTTTGAGAACTCCCACCGTTGCCGGGGAAACGGAAGATGCTGCAGCCTGCCAGTTTGGCCGTTTCTTATAACTTAGCGCACACTCACTGTAGGACCCCACCATGACAGTCCTAGAGAAAGGAACACCCACATTCCCACAAACCCCTGGACGCGATGTTGACAGCGGCTCTGGTCGCAGTTGTGGAAAACTGGAAACAGCCTACGTAATTACCCTCCTATGGTGAACGCCGGCACCTCCACACCCGCGAGACTTAACTCCTCAGCGACGAAAAGGAACAGACTCCCGCAGCTCCGACAGCCCCGGAGCATCTCAGAGAGGCATTCCGCCGAGGGAAAGC